TCATCCAAAAAAAAACCTGATGGGATATGGGTACCTAAATCCAAGCATGCAGTTCTGTTCCAGAAGTCCAAGGTGTCTGAGACAACCCCACCTCCCTGGGAACCCCAACATTTCTGCTGCAGCAGCTGGAAGCCAACTAGAATACCAGAGGACATGAAGGCTTTAGGCATTCTTCAGCAAATATTCCTGCCTTGGGTCATCCACAGAGAGATGGTGCTAGGAGCAAACCAAACCTAGAATTCATTTCTTTGCTCCTTTGTGCAGGTTACCATGCAATACAGGCAAACTTCTCTATCCACGTTTTGGGCTGTCACTTCTAACACCTGAATTTGTCCATTGGTACCAGTAAGGAGCTCCTCCCCAGCTGCAAAGGCTTCAGTGCCTGAAGATGAAGACAAGGTGTCCCCCTGCCTTCCTGGTTTATTGTTTGCAATGCCCTGCCATCTCAGTGATCTTCTGAGCAGAACTACTGATCCTTCCCACACCACACCTGCTCATGGAGCACATCCTCACCTGACATATTTTACAAGGGCCCTTTTAAAGCAAGGTGACACCAATGAGCTTTGGTCTCAGTTTCATAAACTGCAGTTTTTAGGAACTGATTTCCAGGTTCAGCCATCTCAGCACTGCAGACAACCAAGAACAATGCTGTTAACAATGCTCTTAACCTGTGATGTCCTTGCTCTGAATTGGAGCCTTGGATTTCAGATTTACCAAATCCCTTAACCTTCAAGATGTTAAGAACTCTGTTGGCTCTGATTGCTGGCTTCCATGATTGGCAGTGGGCATGAGTTTATGCACCTCACTGAACATGAGTTTAAATGATGCCACTGAACAGCTGTATGACATGAAATAAATCACTTCATAAAAATCCCTGGTGTTCTCACTAGTGTAGAACTGAGATCTGGCACATTTTGAAAAGCACTAGAAAAATGTTTTTATCTGAATGGCAAATAATAGATGAATTCATGCTTAACTTGCGTTTTTCCATTTTAGAAAAATTAGTTTAAAAAAACCAATCATAGCAGCACAGTAATGATAATTGCAGCTTAATTACCCATAACTGATTCTTTATGCCCTGAAATAATTTATTCTCCTTTTATACTTGTCTCTGATATCCATTAGAGTCATTACAACTGTGAGTCTATAATTACATATTTTGCATTTTAATATTCTATGCCAGTATGCGCTCTCTTCTTATCTTTCAGCTAATTTCATTACCGAAACACCAAGAAAATTTCCATGTGAATTTTCCAGAAGGTTTGGGGGTAGGTCTAGCACTTAATGAAACCTAGAGAGAGAGTTCTTAGGACAGAGCTTTTGTAGGTAGACAGACTGTAGGCAGTCTGGCTTTGCCAACTGCTCTGTGTAGGCTGCACCACGGTGGAATCATCATGGCAGGAAATCTGCCTTCAGGTTTGGGGTTACACTTCAGCATTAGGTGGAGGTTAGGACACAACTAAGTGATTGAGAGAAGAGAGATTAGATTGTGTCTATGTTATATTTGAAGATAAAGCTGAGGAAGCTCTTGACAAGGCTCTTCTAGGAGGACCCAGGTCCACTTCTGCCTGGTGGCACCACCAGTAGGAGACACAGGATTGCCACAGGACTTTTCCTTGTTGCAAGTAAGCATGCTACATGCACAGGTATCCTTTAGCAGTGGTAGAAAATTTGGTAAAACCATAAAGCAGAAAATGTGCTCTTTGCTCTCTCACAGATCTCACCTTGCTAAATGCTTTCCAGTCTCAATTACCAAAAGATTAGTCAGCATCTGGTCCAGAAATGTGAACGTGTGGGCCACCCTTTATTTCCTTCACCACACACCAGGGAGATGCCCACACCCAAAGGGGCCAAGGTGGTTTAATGGTTGACTTGAAGAATCTTAAAATGAAAAACCTGTTTTCTAACTATCCCTCTGACTCACTAAAAGCTGCCAAACACATCATTTACTCTGCCTTTCAGCCTGTTTGTAAGACTAGAGTCTTGCTAACTTCACTGACAGGATTCTAACAGAAATTGACTGTAACCTCCCAGTGACAAGAGCTACCACGGGCAGCATTTACAATCCCTTCACTCCAACAGCTGTTTCAGAGACAGAATTGTATTTTTTTTCCTATGGGTAAATGGGCAAAATTGCTTGGGAGATGCAAGTATTAACATAAAATGGATGTATGGCAATGCCTTTCAATGGACAAATTAGGCTGAATGACAAACACGAGATTGGGCAATATAAATTTCACACAGAGGGAAGTAAAATCTGAGCTGCATGCAGCAATTGGAACAAATCAATCTGATTTTCCCATGCCACATATTTACCTCACAGAATCAAAAGAGCCTGAGAATAAAACATTAAAGTGAATTTCCTACTAGAATTTAACAAAGAAAGTACCCAGTCATTTCCTCAGCTGGAAAGGGCATATTTTGATTGAGTCAGGGATTTATTTACTTAAACAATGAAACACCTTCCTCCCTCCTTCTCTCCCAAGTTTATTATTATTTAGACCAAGAATGGGATAAACCAGTGAGATAAGGAGAGTAAGATTATCGGTATTTCTGGGGCAGAGTTTTTACCCTTTAAGAGCTTATGCTGCATGGAGCCACAGAATCATGAAGTGAAAATTAAGTGACTGCAATTATTACCTGATGTTCATCTTTAATTCCCCCAACCAGTAACCTACACAGCAGTCCAAGTGGCTGTAATGGCTGTGCTAGTTTTGGCCTGACACTGCATTTTCACACCTCCCCAAGCAGCACCAACACAGCAGTGTGTTTAAAAAAAAAAAAAAAAGTTGTCAAAAGACAGTTATTACCAGCTTTCCTGCTTTTAACGGGTTGAAAATAGGCCAAAAGTTGTGTGCTGGAGTTCAGCAGTGAATTTGTACGTACTGGAAGACAACTACAATTGAACATTATTACAGCTGCTGAGCACACACAGCTCTTTGGACCTGCATCTCCTTACACACCACACTATAGTCCAGCAGCCCTCACGTGCAGCTGGAATCCAAAGCCTATTCCTCACAGGCAAAAGAAGTCCTGTCACAGTTAAGTTCCCAGCATTGTTTCCCTGCTGGACTGGTTGGGATTCCCTGGCAAAGTAACAGCCAGCAACAAGAAACCCAGGCTGGCCGTGACCACTGCTCATTGAACACCACTTAGGCAAAGCAGCACAATTCTAGGATTTCTTTACTGATCTTAAGGCTGAGATGCTGGAGCTCACAAGGCACTGGACCCTAAGGTGGAAATGCAGTGCCATTACTGCTACTGTATTTGTTGCCACGGAGCATTCTGAGACCACAGAGTCCTGTGTTGAACGCACGGTGCCGAATCCCCTCTCTGCCATCAGCTCTTTTCTTGTATTTGAAGTTTCTGCAACTTCAGCCTTTTTTCAGCAGTATCCTCATCCCAGACCACAACATGTATACAAACAGAAGAATTAACAAGGTCTCTGCACAAAAGGTAACAGCCCACAAAACAGGACTTTCCCACCTTCACATACAGTTCTATGTAACCCCATCGCTCTAGCACATGACTTTCACCAGAGCAACCCACTGAAAAGGGCTGGCTTTTTTAACCTTTTCTAATTTGGATTTTGCTTCAATCTCCTAAGTGTTCTTTGCTTTACTAATATTTAATTTGCATTTTTAAAAGCTTTGTAAAAAAATTGTTTCAATGTTGAGATTTGATAATTTCTTTCTCTGGTTTGACTAATTCAGTTGTTAATTTTTAAGATGCACATGCTCCTTTGCTGCACTGTTGTCTTCTTCTGCCCCACTGATATCCCTCTCTCCTTTACAAAGTAAAAATTTGTGTGTCTCTCACCACTGCTACCTACACAAGTCCCATAAAGGAGTGAGATCTGCTACATGGTTTCCAATGGTCTTTTTTAATTTCCTTCTTACTGTAAGTGACCATAGTTGTGCCTTTTTTCACAGAAGCACAAGGGTTTTCCCTGTTCTCCTTTGCTTCTGCCAGCACCTGCTCCAGAATTCCCATCTGGGGTTGCTGCTTTCAGCTATTTACTGCACGAGCATCAGCTCACATGTGTCTTCACAGCCAGCTAACAGTGCTCACCCAACTGCACCTAAGCATGTTTAACAATGGGTAGAGGATGACTGAGGAAAACCAGCAGCTCTGAAACAGCAACTGGAGCAGAGCCAGCAGGAACCTGACCAGCAGTTGGCTGGTCCTGAGTTTTTTAAGCTCAGTTAATCTATCCTTGCAGAAGCGGAAAAGCTGTGAGGCTTATGGATTTCAGATACCTTTGTCTATAGGAAGCAAATGAAACCCTGAAACATTTTTCAACTTACACACATCCCATGCCTTCTGCAGATGAGAGTGAAAGGAAAGGCAGAAGTCTGGGACCACAGACTTCCTCCTCCTCCTCCTCAGAGACCAGCCTAGTCGGAAGGAAACGTCTACTGCTTATCTCCACTTCAGAAAAACAGACACAGCCTGTGGTGGAAAAACATAGGCAAAGCCCAAGGGACGCACTGGGGACAAAACCAGCAACTTTGCATCAAATCTCCTCAGTATTTGTGGCTTATGTCTCGGGAAGCCTGGCTTTTTTGGAGCCATGCTTTTATGCCATGCAAGAGCCTGGCTCAGGACTGCTGTTCATTGCACTCTTGAGAATAAGCAACACCAGCTTACAAAAACCACATGCCTGAAGGCAGCGTGGCAGGAGGGCACGTTCACAGCGCACCCAAGCTCTCCTTGTGCAACTTCTTTCTAGGCCCACACTCACATTTCTAAGATTTTTACTCTCCTTTCTCTGCAAAAGCAAAAACTGCAATTCTCAAAAGAGCAACTGCACTAGGAGACTGGGCTTTAAGAAAAAGGGGGGGAAAAAGAACAACAACAACAAAAGCCCTCAAAACCCCACATTTATTGTCAAAGTCTCTAAAATTGTGAGATTTGACAATAAGTCTTTTGTTCTTGTGGTAACATGCAACTAGGCAACATGCAGCTTGATTTCTGCAGCCAGTAGATATTCAAAGTACTTTCCACATACAATAGGTGTCAATTTGACTTTATTTAAGGAAAAACGGGGAAAAAACAGTAATTTCCATAATACACAGAAGACAAGTTAGATAGCACTGCAAAAAAAAGGCTGAGTGTTTTACTTGTCACCAGTCTGCTTTGCAGCTCTACGATTAGTAATTTTAATGCAGTTTGTCATTTTGTATTATTGTTTAGCATCTTTATAATCAGCAGAGTTCGGGGTTATAAATCACAAAAAGTGTACTACTACTACTACTATGAAAAACTAAAAAACCCACAAAAATCACTTTCAAATAAACCATAAATATGTGATGCACATTAGTGTAACAAAACCATTTTTGTAAACATTTTCTCCAACATAACATGTGCATAAGATAAAAAATAAAAACACTGCAGTCATACAAGTTAGGGTTACTTTGACTTAAAGATACAGAAAATTATTACTTATTAAAGCTTAAAACTAAACCTAGGAGCTTTTCTTTTCTTCTTTGCTTACAAAAGCACTGTTTGAAGAGTTCGATGTTGGTATACGAAGTGGTTTTGTAATACTGTTTTTACCTTGCCGTGTTGGCACTTCTGTGGAGGCAGAAGCTGCCAGATGGGCAGACCCACTGAAGGAAGGAGATTTCCACCCTCCCCCGGAGCCTCAAAACTTCAACAGCACATATCCATGACTTGGGCATCCCTACAGCACTGGAGCATCTTCCTCTAGGTGAATAGCATCAGCTTTCAAGGACTAGATTAATTTTGACCACATAGCACTGGAAGATTTAAATCACGCAGACTGACATTCGATCGAATCAGCTTCGGCAAACTACACTACAGGGCAGCTCTGTGATTACACCCATGTCTACCATCACGCCGCATTTCCGAGTCCCCTTCAGTCATTATAGTACAAAAGGTTGATCATTCTTCTGGCTGACCACACCGGGCCTGAAAAGAACACATCCTTCACCTTCAACACTATCCAAAAGTCATACAATTAAAAAAAAAATAGTTCTAGGTATTCCTCCGCCAGCAAATGTAAGGCTTTCTTGAGTTTTGATTCTTTTTGGGGGGTAGGGGAGTGGGGGTTGCTGTGTGCACACGCATGCGCTGGAGGTACGCGTTTACCGCTCGCTTTTCAACCGTCTACGATGTTGGAAGGAGAGTCTTCAGCAGCAGCGCTGACCAGGGTTGAAGGATTTACAGCAGTCAGATTTGACACCAAAAGAAGGGTCTGTTGAGTCTGAGCTTTGCACACTTGGTGCTCTTGGCTCTTAATTGATTGTGTGACCAGTCGCTCAAGCCATCAGCTTGACTGAATTGAAGAATACGTGTTTTAAAAGCCCTACCTGTCATGCCATGAAGGAAAGTTAACCACAGCAGAAGACAAAGCCCATGAAACACTGAGAGCCTGTTCACTGAATGAACAGCTTAAGGCAGCTGTCAGCAAAGTACCCCACCAAAGGAATTAAGGGAAGAAAAAAAAAAAAAAAGAAAAAGAAAATAAAAAGGAAAATAGCAGAATCGTGACACTGTGCATTATTACAACACCAACAGATTATTATACACTCAAGATTTCTCAAGTAATGAACATGTAGCCACTAAACAAATTATTACTCTCAAGACATTTATTAAAAATGTCAGAACTTATTCATAAAATAAAACTGACTTAAAAAAAAAAAAGAAAGGAAAAAAGCCAGAGCTGGGATCTTACATCTAAACACAGGTATACGCTGTTTTTATGAATAAGCAGTATTAACTACATTCTTAAAAGAGTTTTAGTGCATTGCATTCTTAAAAAAGAAAAACATCACCGCCCCAAAATGTTTCCTACAACATTTAACAATTTATAGAACTAGTCTAGTTACTTTTAACCTGCCTGTTTACTAAGCCCATGTGTTAGAAGAGTGAAACCTCTGGTTTAGGCTAAATTCAGACTTCTATTAAGGACGAAACTGGTTTTAAAAATGCTTGCTTTACCAAATTTTGTAAGCAAATTACATTAATCAGTGTCTCACTGCCATATCACTACGACTATTGCCCCAATGGACTACTCTCTCCTCCTGCTGAAACTTGCTATGCAATAACAGTCAGAAACCTTTCAATCTGGTAGTTTTGGTATTAAGATTAAATTAGACATTAATGGTTTTCTTCTAAAAACGTATAAACTAAACCACCTCTTTTATTTTATGCATTAAAAACAATGAGGTAGGCACAAAAAATAAACATATGTAGTTTGGATTTTATTTCTCTTTTTTTTCTTTTTTTTCTTTTTTTTTTTAGTTCTGCGAGTGCAGACTGTGGTAAAACTGTTGTTGCACTTCTAGGTTTAAACAAAAATTAAACCTTTAACTGAGGCAGTGCTAATACTGTGACATAACCAAGTTCTGGCCTAACACAGAATCATTATAGAAAATGAATTTTTTTTTCCTTTTTTTTTTTAATCACCTGCACATGTTTCAGGCAACACCTGGTACACAGAAAATGACTAAAGTTATTGGCCAGGCCAAAATAAAACTGCAGAAACAAAAAAACCCTAAGAATTCCACCCCGAGACCCTTCCCACCCTCCCTGTCCCCAAGAAGAAGATATCCTAGTCACTGTGTCTTTCACATTTTATAAATATTAACTTCTTAAAACCTGCACCTTCCTCTTTGTCCACATATTGTCACATTACAAAAAAGAAATGTCAATTAAATACATTGTTAACATTACTAGACTAGATCTGCCCTCTGTTTCAGCCAGTCTGACTCTCTACACCACTTCTCACCTTCTCTTGCCTGCCTCCTGTCCACTCAACAAACAGCATGTTCATGGTAAGCCTGGTTTGTTTTTCTTCCTTTTTCCCCCTTCCTCTGTTTTAACACTAACAAACAGAGTCCTTCAAATCCTAGGAATACTGGAGCTGAAGGGAAAAGAAGACCTGTAGCTTTCTAGCGTGATCCCAAATCTCAAAGACATTGTAGCACCTGATGGCAATATCTTTACAGCACCAGCTGCCTTGCAGCCTCGGTTGAAAAACATAAAGAAACCTAACACCAGTGATGCCTGCACACACATTTACACAGAGTGCTGCACTCGTGCAGGTCTGTACTCCAGTTGAAAATAATTCCAAGTTATGAAGATCTCAGACTCTGGATGTCAGCAATTCCTCTCCAAATCCCACTGCTTCTACCAGCTCAGAAGTGAAGTCCTGCCAAGGGTCATGAAATAGACTTGACTGCTTCCACCTGACCGCACGGAGGCAAAGAAAACCTGCAAAGAAAAGAGATTGGAAAATTCAACAGGTAGGATTCAACAGCAGTGGTTCTAATGTGCTTTTACCCTCCCCAGTATTTACAGTGCAACTGCACTGCTGGTCTGGGCTGGTGGGGATGGAGCTGATACTCCTCACAGCAGCCTGTAGGCTGCAGGGCTCTGCATCTGTGTTTTGGCTACTGCTGAACAACACTATCAGGGCTTTCTCTCCAGCCCCCTCACCCCTAAAAGGCCAGTGGGCTGGGATGGGCAAGAGGCTGGAAGGGAATAATGCTGGGACAGCTGACCCAAACTGACCAAATGGATGTCCCATAACATACAGCATCATGTACACCAATAAAAGCTCAGGGAAAGGACGGGCATTGTGGTGATGACATCTGTCTTCTCAAGCAAGCATTATGTGTGGACAGTATCTGGACATCCACCTGCCCATGGAAGACTTTGTCTTAACTCTTTATTTTGTCTGGTTTGCACATAAAAGCTGTCTTATTAAACTGTCCACATCCAGATCCATGAGTCTTTTTGCCTTCTGACTATTTTCTTCCCCTTCTATGGAAAAGGGGAGAAAGCATGAGGCTGGCTGATCGTTTGGCTGCTGGTCAGGGTCAACCCAACCTAAGTACCCAACTGAAGTACACGTTTATCACCTTGGCAGAAAGCCTGGTGGGGGGGAATGTACCTTGTCGTTGCGTTCACATAAGAATTTGAGTCTTTGTGCCCTTTTGTGCATGAACACACCATCCAAGTGTCCAGTTTCCACCGACCGTATCTCGATAGCTTTTTCTCCCCAGCCCATGATCTGGTTAGATCGGATGTATGCTTTGGAAAAAAAACCAGCATATTAGGACGAGCAGAGGGCAACAGGAGGAATGGAAAAGGCACAGAATATCCTGACACTCTAGTTAAAAATTACCTGTATGTGTGTTATTGTAGCTACACACATGTTCAGAGTGCTATTTCTGGCCTCAGAACACTCAAGATGCCTAAAAAATACCTTTCTAAAATATTCTTTTGCATGTTTTCTATGTTATGTACTTCTTCCCTAAGCATTCATAACAAAGGAAATTTTATAACCTTTAATTAAATGGAGGGAACATTGAGTTTTTACACGGGCTTTTTCTTCCAAGTCTGGGACAAAGAGACATATTAATTAGGCGTTGACTAAGAGGTAGCAGAAGCCAAGGTTTAAATAGACTAAGCCCATCCACTACAGTGTGTCCCAAGCACCAGCTCTATGTCTTACATGTTATTTTCCCTCCTTGATGGAGTTAGTCAGCAAAAACAAAGAATGAAAGGAAAAGATAAAATTTGAAAAAAATTACCTAGCCTCTCTTAATAGGAGTAATAATTGAAAAACTCATCTCCTTGAGAAAGCCAACTGAAAATCATTCTGTGTATCTCACAAGAGGTTCACATTAAGCTCTCAAAGTAGAAATATTATTATTTGACATACTGCATCCCTTTGTGCACAAATAAAGCAAATACATCAAACATTTTTCCTTAGAGTGTCACAGGTAACACAGATTAGTAGTAGCATGAGGAAAAAAAATCTATTTTTGGTAGCAGCAAGAAAATTAAATAAAAACTCATCAGCATTATAAAAAGGTATATTCACAAAACAATTTGATGGACAGTCTTAGGAACGCTGTCAAAAATAACATAAGGGAACTTAAGGAACTTAAGTTGTTGCCTCTGATTTACATGCATACTTAGAAAAAAATAAAAAGGACTTCCTAGCCAGCAGAATTAAAAATTATTTAATTTTACAGTACTTTCCTTTTATATAACATATTCATATTAGTTTTCAGTGCAATTAAATAAATTTTTTTGCAAGAGCATAATGTACACCAACAGTGCATATACCTTCCCAATGGAAAATTATTTCTTTCTAAATATTGCACTAGTGCTAGCAGGGCCAAATAGTTACTAAAAATTGCCAGGTGAGATGTTCAGATGGTGTTGGCTGCCTCAGTGTCATTTACTACTTCACAAGCATTCAAGTCTCCAAAGGCTTTGGAATTTGCCAGCTGATATAGTCTCCCTGCTTTTAGATCTAGTCAAGAGTTGATCAGCACAGGAGAGAACACGCTGTGCATCTAACTTCTTTAAATTTCCTCCTGCACTGTTGTTCCTGTTGCTCAAACAGCTATCAGCAGTCACCTCCCAATAGATGCAACCATCCCGCAGCCCACAAAACACAACGTGCTTGCCCAACAAAAGGAGGATGTCACTACAGCCCATGCTTTGCTCAGCAGCACAAGCAGGAGGGATTCTGGTGTGTACTTGTGTACTACACTCATTGTTCTCACTCTCAACCTTATTTGGAGCTGGAGACATGAGGGAGAATGGTGCAAGGAGAGATGCGCAATCTGAAGGTGAATTAAAGACATCAAATGAGGTACACCTTTTGTTATCTACGTAGACTTACTCACAATATTTTACTTATCTGCCACTTTATATGCCTTTATACTGAAAGGCAGCTTTGTGGCTGTCTAGCAAAAATTCTGCAGCAGCCCACAGAAGTCATGATGAATTTCTCAATCATGAACTCCACAACTTGACTGTTTGGGTTTTATTCACAAAAATTTCAGCACAAAGCAGATCCATATGATTACTCCTCACTTTGCACAGCTGTTTTCCAGAAATAATACAGCACTGACTTCAGATGCAGCAGCAGCACACTCGATGTTCTCTCCTTCCGCCCACGTGCAGACTCACACTCCCTAAGATCACATTGTACATGGCTCACTAGAAGCACTTACCAACTGAAGTTGGCATTTCTCCCCACTGCAGAACCACATCCTTGGTTATCCTTCCATATGTGTTGACATAAACTCCTTCATCCTCGTAGCAGACCAGTAGCTCCATCCCATCCGTGTTTGGGAGGATGATGATTGCGTGAGGTTGGATACTACTCTGGATCTAGAGAGACAGAAGAGGAAGCATTTTAATGCTGCGGAGCCTGTGCTGGAAGAAAGGGTGATTTTTGGTTTTGGCTGGCACATCAGGGATTCACAGAATCATAGAATGGCTTGGGTTGGAAGGGACCCTAAGGATCATCTAGTCCCAAATGCACTCACTTTACAAGTGCTGTATCTGCTGCCCTCAAGCTAGACACTACAGCGACCAAGGTCTGCAAACCCTTGGAGCAGAAATCCTCTCACCTTAATGAAGACATCTAAACTGAGGAAAGATTAATTTCTCTGCAGGAGTGCCTATTTCTCTCATGCACAGAAAGGGAGCCTAGGGCAAGCAGAACAGATGTAGACCTCAGATCCCTGCACTGCATTGAATAGTGCTTGGGGTGGCCCATCTGACACCTCTGTATACAATGAACAACAGGAAACTTGGTAGCCAAGATCACCTGGTCTTCACCAACCCTTTCAAAACCCATCCTTGGACTGTCATGTCATTTGTTGTGTGGCTGCTGGATATCTGCAGGACACTGGGCCGTTTAGCTGAAACAGCCACACTGGTCCTCATCAGATCTGAGTGGGCAAATCCAAACCATAGAGACATACTGACTCTGAGCTGAGGACAGACAGTGAGACAGAAACTCCACAGCACACGTGGCCATATCTGCCCAGACCCCTCCACCCAATTTACCACTGCAAACATCTGGCAGTGATCCACAGGGACAGCCTGACACATTGGTCATCTGGGGAAAGGAAAGGGTTGGAGGTAGGGGGGGTGATCCACCAGAAAGAAAGAGAAGAACCCAGACACAGCAGCAGCTCTTACATGTGTTGGTAGATAAATATCATAGACCGATCCTGAATCCACGTCAACAGCATGGAAGCCAGCGCAGGAGCCATAGATCACTTTTAGTCTCTGACCCTCCTCTACGGTTAGATCCACCAGCAATGGCTTATGTACCAATTCTCCAAATGACTGTGAGACAACCATCAGTGAGATTTACTTTACTGCTTAGAACAACGATGGGGTTTATAAAACATGTTCACATGCACATATTGTGGGTTCATTCCTCCACATCCCACTGGTCCCTAGACACCAGACCCATTAGGCTGACCTATCTCTCATGAACAAGGACAGATTACTCTGCAAACTGCTGCCTTTCAATCACTTAAGCTATTTTCTACAGGGTTTACTTGGTCCATTTGCTTTTTATTATTTATTATTTTATTATTTATTATTTTCCCCAAAGTTCAGGGCAATCTGGCACTCTGCATTACTTTGATTTGCACAACCCACAGTAACTGTCTGTAAACCAGTCTGGCAATTATACCAAGCCAGCTAATTTCATTCTAGCAGTATTCAAAAACAGTCCCATAACATTGCTGAATATTACTATGACTTGTTCTGCTCAAAGAAGTTCAGACTCAGTCCACTTCTCTCTGTCCCTATTTATTAATAGAGAAAGTAAACAAAGACTTGTGATATTGTGTCATTATTAGTTTATTCTCAGCTACAATTTAGACCTTTAAATGTACTGACTCAGAATTAAAAAAGAACAACCTCCTAAATTAAAATATAACATGAAGTTTGTGGAGATTTATCAAAGAACTTGCAATATGGCCATGATACCATGTCAGAACATTTTTGTAAAAGGGTAACTGTAAATGGTTATGAGAAAATCCTACCTATGGCTGAAATATACTGTTACCTTAAAGGCCATAAATTTATGGTATGGCTTTGGTGCCCATGCATAGACTTCCACAGAACTCTTCAATGCAATTACCAAGAACTTGATTCTTTCATATTTTACTGAAATAAAAGAAAACAAAAAAGAATTCAGCATAATTCTAAAGTCATTCCAGTTACATCAAGAACGAAGACAATTTATGCAAGTATGAAGAAATACTGTAGTTTTGAGAGTTTAGTAGCATTACATTTTAAGATTGCTACTTCTACGTAGTTAAGCTCTTTGATACATACATTTATGCTACAAAAGTCATTACTCTTATTAGCAACTGACCATGTCACCACTTTTAGAATTAACTAGTCAGTACAAGTATTTCCACTTATTTTTTTCCCACATTGGACAGTGCTTAGTCATCAAGACAAGAAAAGCCATTTTCAGGGACATTCCATTAAAAGAAAGCTGTGACTGTGGAAGAGTCCACTACCAGCAGTTCCAGTCACACCACTAGCAGTGCTAATTTGAGCTGATGGAAAAACTACCCAGACGAAAGGAGGAAGAAAGTAAAATTACAACATAATTTCAAGAGCAAAAGGCAAGCTTGATAGTGGAGCACCTTCCTTTGTCCCTAAAGTCTCAGATAACTCATTTGAGAAAACGAAAAAAAATTCACATAATTTATCAGAAATAAAATATAGTTATAATAGTGATCCACTCTACTACTTGCTCTTTTAACTGTGCAGGAAAGCAAGACTGAACTGTAAGTGTTAAGGGACTTGACACTTCTTCAACTGACAAAAAAATGTCTCTCAACATCCACAGCTGTACTGACTAAAAACAGAGCTTTTGTTCAGTCTTGTCTAGCTTATGAGACTTCCTGGAATTTTTTCACAGAGAAGAGGGGGATATTGAACAAAACCACCTCATCTGTGAAAGGGGACATTTGATAATTCTTATTATTTACTCTGGGTACTATCTGGGAATTCACCCAAATCTTAAGTTTCAAAAGAGCAATTTCTCATTTAGAGAAGCCAAAAGTTGCCTGAAGCAACTTAGATCCATCAATTCCACTTCAGCCTGACATCGGAGACCCCTGTTGCATCAAAGAGACAAGGAAGTGATCAGTGCCAGCTGCCTCGGTGACAGCATCCAGACTGCAAGCCCAACTACTGGCAGAGCTCTCCTTCTTGGGAACTGAAGCGCAGCTGTCAAAGAGGCCTCTCACTACCTGAAAAAATCTACTGTGTTTCTGTGGTTCAGAGGGAAGTTCAGTGCCAGGCTGCAGCCCAGGCTAACAAACCCCTCTTCATCTGGAAGAGAATGCTCTTTGTTTCAGACGCTTCCCGGCTGGAAAGCCTCCTTTCACTAGCTGTTGATGTATTGTTAACAGGCCACTTCATTATGCTGCGGACACCCTGGGGTATGATACCAGAGAAGTGCATTATTAATTGTTTTCGGGGTCAAGCTCCTGGCTCAGCAGTCACTTACTGCCATTGTTATTGATTACACCCCATTAGCAGGTTTTTCCAAGAGCACACACATGACAGGAGGAGACTGAGAACAGTCTGATTGCTGCTGCTTCTACACTGACTGACACAGCTGGAAAGGAACTGAGTTGGCTCCTGGGAGAAAATCAAATCAGAGGCAACATCCAGTGCCCATTAGGATGCACCATGAAACCGAAGCAGCAGAAAGAGCTCTTGGTTCAAATTCCCACCTGCAGGGCAGCAGGCTCATTGAATATACTCCACTGGCTGTGAATGCTACATGTTTTTCACTAGCATTGGTGGAAGTTTCTATAGCCAAATCCATTTAAATTACTTAAAACCACTCCAAGGGCACCTGCCTGGTGAAAACACACTTGATTCTGTAATTGTACTGCAGCAGATCTGAGATGAATTAGGGAATTTCATGAGCTAAGAGGAATCAATGAATCACCCTGAAGTTACAGACATGCTTCTGTTCCCAGATTCTTCCCCAAAGCTTGATTGCTACCTGGGCTTCCTTTCTCCTCCCACTCTTTTTTTTTTTTCCTCCCAGTCTTTAACATCTACATTAAAGAGAGACATTATTTGATCTATTCCAGCACGTAAATTGATCAGGGTAAAGATACGGGAAACTTGTTAGTAAAGAAAACAGTTGCTGGGGATGAGAATCCCTCTATTACCTAAAGAGTCTAACAGAGGTGGTGAAATGTTACCAGCCCTCACTGCCCATATCAGCACCTTTCTGGAAGCTGCATCCATTACAGGACGGAGATAGCTGGGATTTGCACACTCTCCAGTTCCCAGTCCATTATCCCACCACAAAACCCCTCCCATCTTCAATTTAACCCTGTAACTTGCCATCTATTTTGGTGCTTTGCCAGCAAGTTCACCCTGAGAAACCCTGAGATAAGATAGCTAGAAATAAACCAAATTGTAAACCCAATAGCTACATGCACTGCAGTTCCCTTTGTCAGCCATCCTCTCACAACTATTTGATTACTGGATTTGCTACTCACCAACTTTATAGTGCACACAGCCTTCCAGGTCGCCCACCGTTGTCCAGCCCTGTTTCTTTTCTACTTCAGGATCATTGTGAAGGATTTTATTTCTTAACCACGACAAATAGTAAACTCGCAACTTGTTCTTCTTACCTGACCACAAAATGAAAAAAAAAAATGGTTTATCTCCATAGGAAGATACTCGCAAAAAGCCCTACCCAGGCAAACAGAAGGCTCTGCAAAACAAACCAAAACAACAGTGAAGGAGAAAATGCTGCAACCACAGAAATCTCCCTCAGTTTTTTCATCCACAACAGCTTCACTCCAGACTCCACCCAGACATGAGCTTTCCCAGTAATCAATGACAGATACACATGGTAATACCACATGAACATAAATGACAAACTCAAGGGAACAACTCTTCAGCTATCTAGTTCTTAGGACCTAGACAACTTCCACAATAAAGCACCAGAGAGCTCTGTACTGAGATTAAAATATATATAACTGAGTCAGAATGGCTCTTTTTAACACAAAACTGTACGACAGCAGCAGGATGCAACATGACACCTGAAACTTCATCTGCTTGCTAAAAGCTGATGACTGCTTTGTCAGCAGCCCTTCCCTTGAGCTGCAAGGGTGTAATCCTGCACACAGAAACCATGAGAGGTGTTCCTGCTCCACAGGTGAAAGAAGCAGACCTGCCCAGGCTGCCCTATCTTCAACTTCAACGCATCTGCCACGTCATCGAAACAGGCTCAGACTCTTAACTCTCAATACCAAAAGGCTTCTTAGAATGCAAAGCAAGGTTCATGATAAACTTTATCAGTGATTCTTTAACAACTAATGGCCTATAAAGCATTAGCTGAGCTAGTGAGACGGCCCTAAATGCACATACTCAAAGCTTGCATCCTCCTTTCTCTAGCTGCTTTGCTGCTGGAAACCATTACAGTTCCATGGATTAAGCTGTGGCTGAGGAAGGGAGATCATCCCTGCTTTGACTGGTAGCTACAGATTTGGCAGTAAATGAGTACTCTGATTTACTTCCTGACTTAATATTTATTAAGCCATGTTTACCACTCCTGTAGCTTCCTCGAGATTTCAAGGATTAGAGCAGGAAAAAGTATTACCAGAAGTCCCACATATAACCAAGAAAAGGTTCTTCCATAAAAACACTGCAAACTAGCCACAAGGGCTCTTTTAAAAACACTGAGAAATAGGAAACATACTTCAGATCAGAAGCCACTGCAGTTCTGGGCAAGAAAGAGCTCAGAGGGCTTAGGGTGTCTTACAAAACTGTGCTGAGTCCCTTCCCACAAGGAGACAAATTCTGCCTCAGATATTTCCATGGCTGTAGCTTCCCCAGTAGCTTAGTCAAACTTGAAGACTCAGAACAAACAGTACACAAGGGAATTTCCCAGCATGTGGCTACTTTTTTTCCTTTTGGTTCACATGATATGCACCAGGGTATTTCTCTCCAACCAGAAATATTTTTCAAAACAACTGCGAAGTATCTCAAGTGTGTTCCCATTGTGTTTTGGTGTCTAGACCACAAGGAAAAGTCACAAGACAGGAAATTCCTCTGCCTTTCTGCAGCCTGACATGAAAAGAGCAGGACCGGTTAGTTATATAAACATGGCTATGCAAGTATTTCAACAAGTTATGCTGCTCTTAATGTTCACATTTGGAGTGGGGGAGATAAGATCCTTCTCCTTGTAAATCTCTACCAGTCAGTTTAAACAGCTCTCAAAATTCTGGTCTTTTTTATTTTTTGCAGGGATCTAACCATAATGATCATGAAATAAGAAAGAAAACTCTGCCCCAGCAATCAAATGAACTAAGCAGACAGCGAATTCTATCAGAACTCCCAGCTTGGATTCTCCCGCAGATATAATTTCAAATGCAAAGTCCTTTTTCCTATATTGAGTTTTTGTTTTTATTGTCACTGTGGCTTTTAATTATTAAGCGGGCAGATTCCAACCAGTTCTTCCACCCTGTCATCTCTTCCTGCCTTCCTGGTGCCACCAACAGCCAGCTGGGCTGGCAAAACCCTCAGGGAGCCACAACTGGAGCGTGTTCTGTATTGCACGTTGTCACTCTGTCCTCCAGCATTTTTATGACTCTGCACTGTATCACCTGAGCAAATGAAACTATGTTTTTTTGCCTCTCAACAGCATGAAATGCAGAACCAATCAACTGCTCTAGCTTTACCTGCGAGGCTTTCTTGTACTGCTTCTAGCAGGCTCAGTATCTCAGTATCAAAAGCTTTGTTGTCAGAAAGTTCTGTATTTCAAATATAAATTGGGCCAAGAACTGATTTAATGTTTTTAGACTCAAGAGTGTGTCTAGTAAAAGCAAGTTCAGGTGACAATCCTCTCAAAATCCTAACACACTGCAACTTCTTCGCACAATGCGGTGACACCTTTCAAACCCTACCATCATCAGAACATCACTTCCCAAAAGACTCAGGGGAACACACAGCTGAGTGCACCACACTGAGCTGAACAACGCTTCCAGAGAAGCTGCAGCAGTGCTGGGACAAAGCTCAGAGACAGTTCCATTATTGATCTGCCAAAACACACCATTTGCAGAAACATACCCTCACTCCAGCATTCCAATTTTGCCTGGAGAGGTGAAGCAACTCATCACAAATAAAAAAATATTGAGGGAAGTCCAGTATGAGGGTAAAAAACTGAGATGTGCAGCACAGAAGACAAAAGCTGGATATAAGGGGAAGCTTGGACATAACAACATTATGGTTTCACTGAATATGCTCCCCCAGCCCTGCCTTTCACTGGGCAAGGATGCCTCTTCTGCCTCATACTCCAGTAACCTCCCATAAAACACAGGAGATGGCACAGGCACAAAGGCATAAACCAACCAAAGATCAGCTGATTTCTTAAGGGTTAATGTAGCGTGTCTCCACAGAGGAAGCAATAGTTTTGAAGGAAACAAAGAAAACGGATGTGCCAGGGTACTCCAATTGTGACTGACGCAAAAATAAATAAACTGAAAACAATTATACACAAGACTGAATCACAGACACTTGTGATTTGTGTAGGGTATGTTTCAAATCAACAGATTTTACACAAATTGGATTATACAATATTTTTGTTTACAAGATCTGCTATAGAATAAACTCGATCAAATGGTGCCTTTCAAACAGCTTATATTTTAACATACACCATTAGACATCAAAAGGACACACAGCAGGTTGTGTATTTTTAAATGCTGCTTGATTCATCTCTTTCTTTTTATAGATTTCACAGCATAGCTGTATCTGAGAAGGTAGCAAGTGACAAGCCAATAAAATTCAGTTGTTCCACACAGAAACAAATCCCGTGTTGATGACAACAGCATGGGCATGGTTCTTTGGATCTGTGGTAACACAACATCACTAATGCATAAAATTCCACTAAATTGTCTGCTGTGTGTCCTTTTGAACAAGTATTGGGAGAGCCAGAGAGCTCCTCCTGCAGACTTAGGTCCAGAGCCTTGAAAAAATTTAGGTGGGTCTGAACAATAACAGTGAATGGTGTGAGAAACCTCATGTAACATCCTCTCCCTGTAACACACACACAGCATAGCAAAGGCTGATTTCCCAAACAAACCAAATGGCTGAGCACCACTTGTGAAGAAAGACTAACAATGCACCACATCAAATGTCTAACAGCAGGTTAAAGTTATGCCATAACTTTTTGAAGCCGAAGAGTCTGGAACCTCAACCTTCATAAAACACATTTTTCATCAGCACACACAGAACAAACACAAGCATCACCAACGCCCTTGATCTCCATTGCTTTGCCATTCCCAAGTTGCACCCAGTGAGAGACGAGGCACCAATCTGCCTTCTCACTCTGGTTATTTCCACACCATGTACACATTGTACTCCTCTCTCTCTCACTTTTACTGCACACCACTCTTACTTCCCTATTTTGCAAGAGCTTTCCCCATTCTACAGATTTTAACACACACTTGGTCTTTAAACCCATGTAGCACATTCTGTTTCGGTTAGAAAGAGGCCAGGTTGAAAACAATCATGACAGAGAGAAAAAATGCCATTTTCCCAAACTCCACAAAACATTAACTTCCTGCTCTCAAATACTGAACGAGGAAACAAAATCAGACATTTCCCACAAACTCATGAGGCATTTTTCAAGGTCATCCCACAGAAGGAAGGACAGGGAGCAAGCAGGCATGGGTGTTGTGTGGAAAACTATTCACTTGCAGAAATAAACTGTAGACTCAGAGATGAAATGATGGAAAACCCACTGACTTCAGTCAGGACTTCCCCCTCAATACACAGGCTGCCAAGAAAATCTTTCTGCCACACCATGACACATGGAGGAAAAATGTAATGTTCAATAGTTAACTTTACCAGAAATTGTCACCAAGACATTCAGCCCTTCAAGTACATCCATTTGCTGGAATCGTCTTCGATTGATGAGTGGATAAACCTTCCCCTGCCCACTTCTGTCTAGCAGCATCAGACCACTTTCAGTGCCTACCAGCAAGTTCACTCCTAGGGAAAAAAAAAAAACAGAGATCCAAGTTAGCAAGCACTTTTTCCACATATTCTGAAGAACTGATGATTGATACAGCAACTGTCTTGTTTCAAGCAGGTCTAACCACTACTGGTTGGGTCTCAATTGCCTGTAGCCTAAAAGATCTCATGATGTAGAGGCTCCCTTCATTACCTGCCCACAGTGACTACTGACACCAAACAGTGTTCAAGAGAATAAGAGACTGGTAGACCACAGAGAGCTTTCTAGAGCTCCAGTTCCCAAACAAAAAGGCATGCTAGCGTTGGAGGAGGGGTGAGCCACAAAGTGGTATGCAAGCCTATGTATTCCAAAGATCCATTAGTGGGGTGGTAGCAGGATGCTCTTGACAAGGACATGGCAATAAAAACAGTTTCCACTGGGAGAAATGGGTTGTGTTGCAGCCCTCCCACAAAAGGGTAGGCACCAGGTTTGTTCCCAGCTTCACAACAATCTTTTCCATCTGAACGTTAAAACTAGAGGAACTACTGTAATCTGGTGTTTCCACAGGCTTCTCCTAAAGATCAAGCAAATATAGATGAGAAAAGTCAGAAGGCCAGTTTCTTTACACAAAGCTCCATTGGAACACTCAAAGAGTCCATAGAATCAATTGCATTTTTTTACATAATAGATATGTGTGGGACTAAGTTTTAAATATCTATTAATATATTATCACTCCTAAATTTCATAACTATTTATTTGTAATAGTGTTCAAGTCCAGAAGCTAACAAATCTTGCAGAGATAGTTCATGTACAGTACAGGAAATGGAAATCAAAACAGATGTATGACTCCCTTTATTAGACTTCCATGTTGCAATCCCAATATAAAATTTGCCATGCTTTAGCACAATAAAATAATGGAGTAAGAAAAGCAAAACTCATACAAGATGATCACAGTTACATTGTTTAATGGTCCTAATCCCAAGTCAGGCAATTCACCCCCACATACAACTATACCGTGCCAATGGACCATCTGGTCTGATCCCATAATGAGCCTTTTCTGATAGAGCAGGTGGGCCCAGGGCCCAGGTGTGAGTGTGAGTGTCAGTGCTGTCTGCACCTACAGCAGTGAGGTGCCTTCTCACAGTATTGAAAAAGGGCATTATTGCTCGCCTAAACAATCCCCTGGATAGCAGGCATGGAAGAGTCTTGGAAAAAGGGGGGCACATTAAGCCTGACCCAGGGGGCACAAGGTGTCTCTGAAAGGGGAGAGGGTGTTAGGGGAAAGCAGAGCTGCAGCCAAGAGGAAGCAATGATGGGGAGGAGGATGCTGCTGGTGGTGAGCTGCTGGTGCTGGAGCACTCTTAAAAGCCTCTGGGTGGATGAGAAAAACAGATGTAGCCCATAGTGAGTTCAGAAATCATCCTACATCTCTCCATTATCCTCTCTCTACCTTTTTCAGTAAGAAAACTTCAGAGGTCCCAGCAGTCCCAAGGCATCTTTGCTTCAACTTGCTGTTCTGCTACTTCTCCTGGGAGGCCTGTCACCCTCCAGGCTCTCCTTCAGCTGCTGATACTTCCTTCATGCCTGTGCTGCCCACCTCTCACCTCTGCATCTCCCACATGGTTTGCCCCCACTGCATCCCATCCCACAGTCTCCACAGGCAATACCCATTTCACCCAAGAGCATTTCACACAGACTGTCCCTCTTACTGGGAGACATCCTCAGATTGGGAAGTGGCAGAAGGAAGCAGGGAGAGTGAGCCACACACGAGTCAGGGCTTAGCACAGGCTGAAAACCAGCCAGGGAGTGCCCAGCAGCTGTCTCCTTCCTGCAGCTCCAGTACCCATTGACTAAAGCTGTAAGCTTCAACATGCAGTTTCCAGTGTGGGCTACAATTCAAAGCAAGCCACATGCAAACTGCTTCCTCAGGGTCCCTTCCCCCCCTTTGTACATGAGGACTCCACTGCTCCTGCCTCCACCATCACCTCTCCTGCCATTGCCTTTCTGGTGCAGTTGTTCCTGCTCTGAGCTCTCATGCACACCTGTCCCCAGCCCCTTCCCTTAGTTACATGCACTTTGAGATGAAACTAATGAAGTACTACACTAGTGGCAAGCAGTGCTTGTATTTTACAGTGCAGACACCCTCCTTACTCACAGCCAGCAGAGCTCTTCTACTGCCACCCTACAATTAAGCAGTTCTGTTTTTTCAAACAAATGGAAACGCTTCCTGAAAAAGTACAGGCTGTCTGTGGAGGCCAGGTTAAAATCCTGTGTTACTGCATCCATGTCATTAACACTGAATTTTACCACTCAGAGCTAGAAGGAACAGCATGAGAGATCTAATGCAATTAGCAGCTTTCCAGATACTACTGACATTACCACTGGTAAAGGCCAAGCAAAGCAAGTCCCCCTTTTTTTGAATAGAAAGCACAAAATGGTTTAATTTTCTTAAGGGTAAAGAAAGTTAAACCTTATCAAGAAGTAAGCATGTGTACCAACTTGAATCACCATTGGTTTGGCTCTAAATGAAGGGCCAATGAAGGGTTGTTGTTACAGCTGTAAAACACCTCTAGGATTTGACACCTATTCTTTAAACCATCCTAACAGTCAGATATATAGATCAAAGAAATATAAAACCATTAACACGAATTGCTACTGGCAAAACAAGGCAGATCAGAGAAATTATGAGTCATCTTTACCAACATAATATGACTTCTCTCTGCCTTTGGCATCTCACAGCCTGAAAGTTTACATTTGCACAAGTCTTAACTTTATCAGAGAATTTTATACAGGAATTCAAGCAGAAATAGTGCTAGGGTAAAAATTCTTACCAGTAAATTCTGGAAATAAAGGAAACAGCAGATAGGAAGACAAGGTGTTGGGAGAGCTATTTCATTGACACAGCTTTGCAGGCATGAAGACTGGGACTAAAGTGCTGCTCTGAGAAACAGGAAATGCTGGAAATAACCCCATAAGAGAACTAAAGCCTTGGAAAGAGCTACAAAAAAGTAAATAAGACAGGGGACTTTGCTACCTTTACAACAATCACATGCCTTAGGGGAATGGCCAATTCTTGTCTTCCTAAGATTTTTAAATTACTTGCATGTGCATTTATAATCTTCCCATTTTAGGGATACTAGGTAAGTATGTATGTAACATACACAAGCATCAACTATTAACATTTAGATAATGAAAAAATTCACGTGCCCCCATAGATTCTGGCTAGGAGACAAACAACAGAGAAAAGCTTTCACTAGGTTTTGCAGCAGAGATTCCACACTGCAGCAGGCAACAAGCACTGCTCTAAATCTGATGAAGTGTGGGAGCCTGACTGACACCAACACAAATTATCCCTAGTGACAAGAAGACCAGACACAGCTGGTCAGCTGACATCTCATACCCAGCTTCTCTCTGCAGTAATCACTCTTAACAAAGCTAAGTCTCAGAATGGAAAATGTTCTTTCTATCCTTTTCTTTTCCATCTTAGTTCCTACATAAACTCATGACTGAGGCGACAAATCATCTTACGCAACACACCTTAATCAAGCCCTGCAGTAATACATTAACAAGAGCCTCAAGATGATGATTATTTTCCAAAAGAATACCCTGTGTGCACCAGGTGTACACTGCAAGGACTACTACAAGCTCCCAAAAGCTGCAAGAGATGTACTAGCAGGATTCAGAAAGAGCTGAAAAGAACATCCTGATCAACTGCAGATAATCTGGGACAGGAACAGAGGACACAGCCTCAAGTTATGCCAGGGTAAGTTCAGGCTGGATACCAGGAAGAAATTTTTCACTGAAAGTGTGGCTAAGCATTGGAACAGGCTGCCCACAGAGGTAGTAAGAGTCATCATCCCTTCAAGAGTTCAAGAAACAACTGATGTGGCACACAGTGCCATGGTCTAGCTGATCTCGTGGTGTTAAGTCAAAGGCTGGACTTGATTTCAGAGGTCTTTTCCAACCTTAAGGATTCTGTGATTCTCAGTATAACCTGTGCCATGAGAAGCATTTATGTATCAGAGGGAAATTCCATCAAAGCAGAAGCAACATACTGTAAAAAACACAATAATTATCAGGTCTTGCGACAAAGAAGATATAAACAAGCACAGAATAAATGCTGAGAAACAGCTACAGTTTTAGAGATATATTATCAAAGGCTGAAAGCTCCTACTGGCATGTCTATACATCAGGAATGGCAAGGGAAGAAGACTTTTGCATTACCCCATAAGGCCGCACACAGTATCTCAGAATTGAATCTCTTCTTGTATTTGCGAATCTCTGGTGTGTCACTCTGTGGCCGTGTATTTGTGGGATTCACATTGACAACTGATCCTTTCCGTGTAGGGTCTTGCCTTATTGCCTCTGATCTCATTGCTTCACTAGAAAATCCTACTGAAAGAAAAAAAAAAAGTAAAGTGCATGTAATACCCTTCAAGTGCTAGATTCTGGACATATATTTTTACCATCATACAACCCAAATCAGTAACAGAGAATACTGAGAAAGTCCTTATTTTTGTAAGAAATGTAAATGGAAAAAGAAAATAAATTATGCAATCCATTGCAAAACAAATAAAAAGCATGATGGTACATTCTTAAGTACTTTAAAGAGTCACTGAAGTCACTGAACCCTTTTTCAATTGTCGTCTTCAGCTACTTTACTTACCCACAGAAGTCACAGTTGTCCCACTAGATGGAGAAATCTGTAGTAATCTGGGGTCTATAAAAGGTGTAAAGGAGGAGGAAGATTTGTGTTTCTGGAGTGTGTTACTAGCGGACTGAGTCTGCAATGTAAATTTCAACTTTATTAATATTAATGACAATAAAAAGCATGGATAACAAACACCAACATTTAGAAGTCACTACAGAATTAAGCTACAGAACCTCCCCAAGCTCTTATACTTCCTTTATAGATACACAGCGCACTGCAGGCACCACACCTGAACTAGATACATATGCACACTGCACGTTACAGCAAAATGTAATTAGCTGAATTGTCATCCCTGAACCTCAGCTGCTAGCAAAGCTTTTTAGTACAGACCACTACAGTCAGCCACAAAGCGAGGGAATGTCTCTCCTTTTGAAAATCTGCTTAAATGTATGTATACTATTTTATCTGCAAGCTGTCCACTACCTACAGTTTCTGAATTTATGAAGCATCTCCTGAATTGAGGTAGTTAATTAAATTATGAAGTTTGATCTCTTGGCTTGTTCAATAAAATCAGAACCATCTGGGATCAAGCATTCACTTCTATGATGGACTATGTTTCAATGTTCGTTACTGCTCTTTCTCCCTATTTTGTTTAACCTGAGCCTCTTGCCAGAAAGCTGCAGCAGATTCTTCCACCTTTATTTGACAAAGCAATATATTAAACCTGTATCGAACAAAGGGGCTCATTAGTGTGGAAGGTGTAGCAAACAGTGACATGACACTATGAATATGTAGTGGATAAAATCACTGGTGCTTGTTGAGTTATGAGGTCAAAACATGAAAAAACAAAGAAAGAAAGAAGACAAATGAAACAATGAACTGTTAAAAGTGGAAATGGAACAACTTAAAAACCCTTGCCAGTTTAGTATTATAGTGACAACATATCATACTGAAGCAGAATGGGACAAGTGGAAAAAAAAAGTGTGTGCATATATATATAAAGGGTGTGCATGTGGTAAATTACACCAAGCAGTATGGAGTTTTTGCTCAGTTGTATGCAAACGTAGTTACAAGACACTTCTTTAGCATCAACTAATCTTCAACCTCTGATGCTCCTAGACCTCTACAGAAAAAAATAGCAATGGGTCTTTGGAGTGTATCCCTGCCCTGCACAGCCCAGTACCAAAAGGCTCCTTTGTCACCAGGCACTGCCACAGCCCCCAGTTCCCAAGCTGAGTGAACTGAACCCTGCTTATGTATTGCTTAGACCAAAGTAGTGAGCAAGCATATCTCTAGATCAATCAACTGATCTCTATATCCTACAAGAGTGCACTTTGAGAAAGATCAAAGACCAATGAAGCACAGTTGAAAATTATGTATAATGCTAAATGAATTTCCAGGAGGAAACTGCAAAGTTTCTACCTGCTATGTGGTTAAGAAGCATTTTTGATTATGTGGTAAACATGTGCATTGCCATAAACATACCCAGCTCCACTGCAACCTCTCCTCATCACAACACTGGCACACCTCCATGGCAGGACTCTACCCTGAGAAGCAGCGGCTTCTTTTCAACAAGTTTCACTTGCCCTGTCCCATCCCCTGCTTGAGAGGCTCTCTTTGTAAGCCAGGCTGGCCACCCAGCCAGGAGTGGAGACACCAGAAAAGGCTCCTTGCTCACTGCTAGGGTTGGTAAAGGGTGAATGGCCCTTTGTTCATTCACACGTGTGCATCTCCTCTGCTGCGAGGGGTTATTTACACACATGTGAAGGACCAGGCTTTCCCACCTGCACTCAGTAAAGGAAGGCACCATCCTAGGATCAGCCCAGGACAGCAAGAGCGAGCTTCCCCCATAGTAAAGCCTTCTCCACCTGGACACAATCAACACTGGTGGAGAACAGTCATCTTTACACAGCTGCTTCTCAGAGTACACACACCCTTGCAAAAAACCCCAAATATTTTCCCCATTCATTATTCCAGAACACCTCAGGCTTTTACAACCCTCCCAGGCAACACCTGATTTGTTCACCCAGCCCACATGGCAAGCTTCAGTGAGCAAAATCCCTCCACAGCCACTTCCTCTCCCAAAGGGTGAGTTTCCACAAGCAGCTCCTCATATGTGTGGAGACACTAGTCCAGCCTTTACTGACAAAGCCAAAATTAACTGCTAATTCTGAAGAGGCACATTGCTTGCAATTAGCTTGCTCCCGGAATAAAACAGAATTAAAAAAGAGTATTGGCTTGAAAATGCAGTAGTCAAGTTTAGTTTAAAACAAACGCCATGCAATTAATGACTCACTAAAAGGAAGCAAAAATAGTAAACTGGCAAGTTTGGCGTGGGACTGCTCTAGAGTTAAGGGCCTCTTACACAGAACTGAAATGTGTTATTTGGGAGGTGGGAACAAAGGTGACAGAAAAAAAAAGCAGGGGAGATTGGCTGGAGTTCCTTTGCAAACTAGCTACTAGGCAATGCTGCTATAACCCTATGAAAGCAGCCAGCTGTGGTGTAAGACATACCTCATTAGTAGTTAGCTTGTCCTGGGGTGTCTGTGGGGACATGGTGGGTGTCGGCTGGCTGGAGGATGGGGAGGAGGAGGTGGAGGAAGTGGAGGAGGAATGGCTTTGCTGTAAGAGATCTGGCAAGAGGTGAATGCGACCGGCAAAGCCATTGCTCTCATGATGGCTGGCACGCTTTTTGTCAACTGTACTCTGTAGAAAAAACAGGCACACTTGTCTTGCTCAAGTGCTGCTTAAAGGTCTATATCCCTAACAACCTCACTCCTTCTCTCCCTCACTTCCTACTTTTTTACATATATTTTTTTATTTATCTTTTAAAATAAACTGATAATCCATGCTTTGATGCCCGCATGGAAAGGGAAAGTGGGAAGAGCTACTAAAATTCATGGAATTCCCACCAGCAGGCAAAAGCCTGGTTCATGTGGTTGACTTGCACAGCCAGTTCCACCAATTAACAAAAGAACAACTGCGCTGCTAAGTCCAACACCACAACAGGGACAAGCACATTTTTGGGGGTGGGTGAGGGTTTTTTTTCCCTATTGTTTTGTTTAAAACAAACTTAGACCCTATACAGATAGCAGTTTGGACTTTCTGGAGAATCCCTTCAGCTAACTATTTAAAACAATAACCATGAAATCTTAATTTTCAAACAAGAGGACTCAATTAAGAAATTGGCATTCAGTTGTGAAACTCAGAAATGTGATTACTGAGGAAACTCCTATAAGCTAGCACACTCATTAACACACAAGCTCATTTAAAAACAGGGAACCATTATCTTTCAGAGGCACAAGAATGCAGTATTTTCAGAATCAAAGGCAACAACACAGCACTCTAGCTCTGTCCACATTCTCTGCCTCACCACCTATTTTGCTTCTCCCCCACACCAACTGTTGCGTGAATTTGCATGTACATGTGTGTGTATGTTATCTGGGTGGTCTGTATGCCCTAAACTACAGGTTGGAAACAATTTTAAAAAATCTTGAGTGCTCCCACCCCAGCTCCCTCCCAGCCTCACTCCTGAGACACATATTTGGTTCTGTGGTAAAACTCAACAAGTTTTTGCTCCAGGTACTTGCTCCACACAGCTTTTCTATCCTTCTCTCCCACAGACTTTGAGATATTCTACATGGTGCTGCCATGAGTGTCACTGGAAAGCATGCAAAACAGAAGCAAGGGGTGAAGGGCTACTCTCCTCTTTGCATGCATCAAACATCTTGCTCATCTGAAATTCACTACAGCTGCGTCTTGATAATACGAACAACAAATATAATGTAGAAACAGCATGGGTGAATGAGCGAGTGGGTTAATGAGCACAGAAAGGGTGCAGCACTGCACAGGGAAGGAAAAGCAATACCTGTCGAACAATTAAGGTGCCCTCCTTAGAAGGAGTCAAAGCAGGTTCACTCTCCACATCATCATGGACAATCATGGTTTTTACTGACTCTGTTTCACCATTGCTCAAGTTCAACGTTGACCTATTTGTCAGACAAGAAATAACTGAAGTGAGATAACAGCACTAATACCTTGGCTGTCACTGCCCTGTACCATGGCATAGTCAGAATTAATCTGTATTGTGGCTAGAGTGAAATATTTACATAAGCTGCCTAGAAAAGCCTCTGTCAAAAAAAAAAAAGTGTCAAGATATTGCTAAACAGTTTCTTGTTTTGTAAGAAACCAAGGGAGAAGAGGGAAAGGACATCGAGAAGGCTACCCTCCGTGCTTGAATATATGAACACATGAGACTCCTGTGTCCTGCTCAGAGATTGTACTAAGCTGAAAGAACTAACATACAAGCCAAAATGCTAATATCCTTTTCCTTCAATCCCTTATAAGGCAAAACTGATGCAAAACACTGTTAGAGGGACTAACACTGCTCGGACATCATCTGGCCCAGAAGTAGATTCATCTGCTCCTTCTTGTTCCATATCATCATCTTCCTCATCGGTTGTCCCTGACTCCTCACTCGAGGATGAGTAATCCGTTACTTTATGTGGAGGTCGCACATCCTCTACTGCTCGCAACTCCTTTGCCAATGCAGTTAAATCCTGATGGGAGAGGGAAGAAAAAAAATTTAAAACTGATGTTGCAAGTAAGAGACAAGAAGAGTTTGCAACACAAACCCACAGGATTAGTGGCTGAGTTTGCTCACTCATTTGCTTCTGTGTTTCCAGCAGTACTGTTTCCTTTGACTTACTTATTCCTAACAGTTACCAAAGCTCACTTTCTCATAAATTCAAGCACGGGAACAGTCAACCTAAGGGGATCTTGCCATATCATAGAATAATATGCATACTCTGAAACCCGACTATCCTGATTTATGACTAACTGCAGTATCATAAGAGATATGGCTACTGAAGAAAGTTTCAAGGAAAGACAGAAATACTGTGAAAATCCATTGAGTTCCCCAAGATACAACTGGACACAGAGCTGTAATCAATTATAATAGCAGCCAGATGTAGAAAATGTCAGAAATCTTTCACAGAAAGTAGGAAAAATTTAAAGTCTTACCACTTCTCCCTGCACCATTCAGCCCAGCATTGGCACATTCAGGTCAAATGCACGATCATTGGTCCAGCCCCAGGAAGGAAGAAAAAGATTAAAAGAGAGAAAGGCATGAATTAGGAAGGAAGAAGACCAGAGACCAGAAGTCAATCCCAGAAGCAGTGCAAAATCTAATGTTTGCAGTACTGATGTGTACAGGCAATTGCATAGCCCAGAACATGCTGCTAGACCCACAGTTACAAACTCAACTCCAGCTGATGTTCACCCCTGATGGCACTGAACGAAGCTCTCAGTGTATTTTTTGTGAATCTACTTCTGAAAGTGAAGGAGGACAGGGGAGGTGAATGCAACTCACAGCAGGCTTGACAGGTCTGAAGACTTCCTTTTTCTCTTCAGGCTTTTTAGGTGCACTTTCATGGCGCTGTGATGGCGAACCCTCTGATTTGGATGATGCTGCATGTGCCAAGACCCCAAAAGGAACACAGAACAAAGCAGATTAAGCAGGGACCTAAAATATGTTTTCTTACTTCACTCTGGAGTGGGGAAGAGATGTGACATGACTATTAGGGGTGTCTGACCACTAGACCTAAGTTTCACTGATTTACTATTACACTGTCCTTGAAGGACTATACAAAAACCACCATAAGCTGTGATTTGTATAGGTGTAACTGACCTATGTTTGAAGCCAAAGTACACGGTCACAACAATTGTAAATCAAAGACTCAAGTGTGGCCACAAGCTGGAAAACCTCCATCATCATCCAGCTGAGACCTATCCATTGCAGTGTGCACCCTGTCAACAGCCACCAGGGTGACAGGCAGCAAGTATCAAAACGTGCCCTTGCTTGGCTCATGGAGCCCGAGCTGCTTACACAGAGGAAAATGCAGCAGTGCTTGATGTGAATTAAAGAAAAATGAGAGAAACAGTTTGATGATAATTTTGTGCCTACTGCCTTTCCCAAGCAAGGACATATGGCCAAAACAGTACAGCAAGCAAACCCATCGCTGACATTGCACAGGTTCCCTGTGAGCATTATCATGTTTAATTACTGACTGCTTCGCAGTGTAATAAAATAAGAAACACAATGTGACAAAGGGTAGGAGAAGGACTTACATCTCATCCTGAACCGCTCTCCAGACCCACTCTGAGAGCCAGGGTGGGAGCCAGGTTGGGAGCCAGAGTTGCTTGAGCCAGAAGAACTGCCACTGCCTGGCCTTGGTACAAGCTTCTCCACCCTTTCCCACAGCAGACGAGGCTCTATATTGCTGTATCAAAGGAGGAGAGAAATTCTTTGTCACACACACTTCAGTCCCAGATTCTCAGCTCTAAACTGAAACATCACTCTGTCTCAGTGTTTTGCTAATAACTCAACTGAGAGAACACTTCAATGCTGAGATCAGAGCATCAGAAATGCTTCACAACCCAGGCAGTAGCTCCCTTCGAAATAACTATTACCTTATTTAAGATGGTTAAAAAAGAAGTTTAGGTGGGTATAAGCTATTCCTTTTATCTGTAATTATCTACCTGCCATTCAATATCTAACCTGAAGTGGACAATTCTCTAAGCTTGCACGCAGCAGGTTTAAAATTGGGTCAGAAGTGTCCTAGCACTAAACACAACCCAAAAAGAATACCAGAATACCCTCACCCCTATCCAGTGAGCTAATTCCACGGTGGCCTGCCCATGTTGCTCTGTTGAACTCAGGAGTCAGCTCTCTCCTCCCCCTTCTTGACCTTGGGTGCTCTGTGTCACAGCCCATGGAGGCCTTTTCCCCCTCTTTCCTCCCCTTTTTGCCCCTCCCCCTCTTAAAATCTGGTTCTGGCTAAGAGGCCAGAAAGCTTCTCAGGTCTCTTGAGATGTTACAAGCCCTTCTGCTGCCAGTAATCCCCACGGTATACCCAAGCTGGCCTGTTGCACCAAAAAGCAAGACATTCATAAGCGGCTACATTTTTTCCAAAATTTGAAGGATGTTTGAAATTATTGTAAAAATTTGAGGGCAGGCAACTCAGATGAGAAGAGGAAAGAAGAAATTTTGTCAGCATTTTTTGGAACACGTGCTACATCAAGAGAAATTAATCATTACTGAAAAGGGATCCAACATCATCTTCCTTTCACATCCTACAGGCATTGCCAAAAGCTGTCTGGAGATGTGTGGCTGCCCATTTTCCTTCCAATTCAAGAGAAGCAAGGACACGTAGGCTTACAAACCTCGTGGAATTCCTTTGACCCGCTTGGTTATTTTGCTGCCCACCGCCCTGCAGTGGGGAATCACGGCGGGACAGGACTGGTGATCGGGACGTTGTTCTCACAGGTACCTTGGGAGAAAAAAGGTTGTGTTAAACCCATGAAGAGGACGGAGATGACAGGAAGATAAAACTCTTGCCACAGAATATATTCTTAAGATCTTAACAATATGTTCTTAAGTACAAGCTACCATCAATGACCAAAAGCAATAAACAAACTCCCACAAAGCCAAAAGCCTTAGTTGTGATGCTGTTCAGAATTTGAATAGAACTCAAAGTTTAGTCTTAACATTAAATAGAGTTTAATGGTTATCACATGAACACGTACACGCCCGCTACCCTCCCAACTACTGAGACATTTGAAAAGAATATGGCATTTTGACTGAAGCAGGGGAGGCACAAAGCAATTTGCTGAAACAGCATGAGAATTAGGAGAATAAGCTCAAGGGAACCAAACAAATGCCCGGGAATGGATCAGCAGAAGGCAAAGACTGGTGGGGGGGAGCAAGAATATACTTAGAAGAAGCAAATCCCAGTGGATGGGAGGGGGGATGGAAGGGGGAGAGGAGGAGGAAATTATATTGAATGTTTCCTTTTTGTTCAGATCCATCTCAATTTTAAATAAGTGTATGATTCATAGTTTGGGTTGCGAACAGATGAAGAGGAATATTAACTCTGAGCAATAATCTCAGGGATATTTTGAATTCTTTCCTGAATATGGTAATGATTTGTTAACTTTGCATAATAAATTGTTTCTCTGAAATAGCTGCATTCTATAAATAATTACCAATTTTATATGAAGCTTCAATATTGTACTTCAGGTTGATTATCATTAACCCATTGACTGAATACCTACATAATGATCTGCCTTCCAAAATACTGTTACCAGTGCTGGCACAAGGGCAGTCTTCCCAGTGCCCAGGGTATCACATCCTTAAGAAAACTGAAATTAATAATAAAAAAATAGCACACATCTGTCTTTCTACTCCTTACCCTTGGAGGCACCTCGTCACTGTCTGATCTAGCCCAAGCCTTTTGGGTGGGGTCGGGTACCTCCGACTTAGAGTCAGAACTCTGATTAAGCACTTCACTGCGTGAAGGTGGATATGGGTCCTGGGAACGAAGATGGTGATGAGCAAATTTGGGAGAAGGGTCACTGAAGGAATGGGATCGCGAGACAGGGGAAACATTGTTCTTGAGAGATGCCAGATGGGACCACTGTACCTTACAAGAAAACAAAACATAAAACATTCAATGCGCTCAGTATAACCAGCTTTCCAATTAACACAGAATAAAGGCAGGTGGGGCAGGCAGAGACAAATTGGTTATGGCATTAGGTAAGCGTGGGGTGGAATCGATGCATTTAAAAGCAAGGCAAGCGCCCAAAGAACGTCACAGACTGAAAATACAGCACATATGCATTTTTTGTGTGATATGCTCTCCACATACACGTACACTGGTGCCCAGAGGAAAAGGGGATCCAGTATCTGCACCATGAGCCTGAGTTCAAAGGCCACTCAAGACAGAAGTTGCCTTCTGTTCCCTGGTCTTCAGTGGGCTTTGGCCAGGTCTCATGGTGGGATGGGAAGTTTGAAGTGGACATCAAATTGGAGCAATGTACAGAATTAAAGAATGCCGTAAGTTGGGCAAACCAACAGACATTTACGTTTCCTAATAAATTCAGGGACTAGATGCACCTCGAAATTTTTGGAGAAAGACCATAACACAAAGCCTTTATTCCTTTACAATTATTGCAATATATATAAAAAAACATAATATATATTGTATATAGTATACATATGTACAATGCATATTATACTTACACCATATATGTACCGTACACTGTACATATATACATATTATACACAAAGTACACACATACATTTACATGCACACATACTCAATTACACATACTGAGAAAGCATAACAGTGACTATGGAGTTAAAACTCCATTAGGATTTCCAGTGAAATCTACATTGACCCTTCAGCCTACATCCTCTTTGTACATAAGCCTGCTTCAGAGTTAATTTCTGAAACTGAGGAGGAAGGAAAGTCATAACTGAGGAACATGCTGTTTTCACACCTAATGATTAAGCAAAACTTTGCTTTTAAGCCCAGTTTCAGTAGGCTGGCTGTATTTGTTTACATGTTATTATTATTTCCTCAATTTTAATACACACAGCTGTTGAAGGGCCTGATTATCCTTAATACGAGTGAAAGATACAGACTTTATAAGTAACTGGCACAGAGTATGAAGATACAAGTCCAATATTTTGAAATAGTCATAGAGGTTTGAATAAAAGCCAGGAAATAATGAGCAAGAGATAAAGTTCTGTCCTGATTTCTCCCACTCTTCGTCTGTTCAAATTCCCCTGTTGTCCAAAAGAGTGGCAATACCTAGTCACAATCAGGGATGGTTTTAGCTTGCACTGTCATCAACAGACTTTATTTGAAAGAAGAAAATTCTGCATGGAAACAGAGGTACCAAATGCAGAACTCTACTGTTTAATTTAGCATACCTAAATTGTTCAGAATTCATGGGCTATGTCTAAGTTTTAGACAAAGGTTACTTTTCCAATTCATGCCATAACTCCCATGAGATCAGGTATTAAGATCTGGAGGCTCTTCATTAGAAAACAACAAAACAATGGCTACCATGCAGCTCAGGGGTTTGAACCTCTTTTTGATTTCCCAGGGGCGTTAGAGAGCTTTATTTAGCAACTGCAGGCCTACTGACAACAAACTTGCTTTTCTTAGACATGTTTTGCAAACTCTTCGAAACAGTGCTCACACTATTAAAACCCACTTGTTTAGTTAGCTTTTTTCTGCAAGAATTTTAAAAACCAAGCAAGTGTGCACTTTTTTCCTGAGCATCCTTTTTAGTAGTAAAAACCTTGCACAGAGCAAATTCTGAATTGGAAAATGGTCTGCAACTGCCACCAGTAATTAACTCACTATGTCACTGCTGCATATATAATAATGGGATACAACAGTTCTAGTCTAACATGAAAAAAAAACCACACCAAAAAAACCCCACCAAACCCATAAATCCATCCGTTTATCAATAAAATAAGCAAAAATAGACAAATAGTAAATCCACAGAATAAGCTGTTTTGTGTAACAGTACTACCCTTTACAAAAGACTTTCTAAGTGCAAAGACCTGCAAATTTGAAGGAAACATGTTAGGACTTCTGCATTCCCTCCAGGCTCACCAAGCTTTTCCTGGGCACTTACCTGGGGCTCCATTGGCCTCTGCAGGGCAGGCTGAGCAGGTTCTGAGTTTCCATTGGAAAAGGACTCTGATCTTGAAGGCACTGGTGGCTCCAACACTTTGCCCATCTGTTTAGACTGTGCTTCAGGGGAGCCCTGATTAGTTTTTCTAAATCTCTCCTCCACCTAAGCCAAAATAAATGGAGGTTAAACCTTGAGCCAGTAAAACCAATTACTGTAGAAATACAAAGGGGAGTACCACCTTTTCTTTACCACAAAGAAAGCAAATACATTTCAGGTTTGGCAGGATCTTTTCCCAATCACTTTTGCCAGCACTGTAAGTTCACTGAGTGAACTACACCAAAGCTCCAAGTACACCCATGTGGATAATCCATACTAGGAAGAGAGGAGATACGGGAGGTAGCAAGATGTGAGATAATATGATGAAAGACCATTATGGGCCTTCTTTCTGCCTAGACTAATTATCCATCAGTACTTCCCTCACAGATAATAAAAAGGATACACTTAACCAGAAACAACTTTACAATATAAAAGTACATTTCCCACTGCTATCCCTTACTTTAGCTGCTCACCTTATGCAACCAAGGTTTTGGATCATCTGCTTTCCTGTGCTTCTCTCTTCAGCAAAAGAAGAGATAGGAGGATGTGTTTCTCTGCCTAGTAATACTGGAGTCTGTCCAGCTTTAGGCACAAAAGTGTAGGACTTACTGTCTCTCTTATCAAATACTCTCAGCAAAAACTCAAAGGCTGTAGAGGACAGTCCAGTCAGCTTGTTTCCTGTTATCAGGAAGGTGTAGAATTGATCTTATGTTAACCTCAAGAGCTTGCTGAGGGGAAGACTAAATCAGAATGTGCTCAGTCCTCAGAAGAACATCAAGCAAGATCCCCATGCAGAAACATCACCTCTTTCAAGGCCACAACACTGAAAACAAAGTGAGACGTATGAAGGACAAGTGATGGAGGGAGGTTACAGGCAGAAAGGAAATAGCCTCTCATTTCCTAAGAAAGTCTGTTGCTAGAACCAAGGCAGCATGTGCCAGGTAAGCTGCCTCTGAGGAACGCTAAACTCCCAGTATTTTATCAAAGCACCAAAGATCCGACTGGAAGCTTGTGATGATGTAATTTGCTTTAACCCTTGTGCCCAGAGCACAAAACCAGTATTGGGACGATTTCCTAATGCTCCCTAGCAGTGATGGTCTGGGGAGACTGGCTTCCAGAAGATAGGCAAGTTTCCAGACTCCTCGCCTCAGGTGGGCTCCTTTACAAATCCAACCTGCCACTGCATTCCAAAATTTGAGGATAGTACCTGGTTGCCTATAGGGACAAGCAAACGAGCTCTGTACACAAAACACAGTATGTCTTGGGAAGTACAACAATAATGGAGGCAAGCATCTTCACCACGCAATCATTTTCACCACTGTGTTCAACTTCAGAGAGCCACTCTTTAAAGTCTAAAAAACAGGCCAGACTCCTTGTTATGAATAGAATAAGGAAAAGCCTCAAGTCCTTCTGTCTGAAGAAACAGGTTTTCACATCTCTAGCTGTAGATGATAGGAAGTTTCTTCCACAAAGCACATAAACTGTATGAGTGATGTGTCCTCAAAACCAGACAAGAAGTGGCAAGGAGAAAGAGTGCATTCCTGGATAGAAACAGGTTCTATTTCAGTCATCTGACTGTCTGGACCTGAAAGTGGTATTAAGTCCTAAGCTCTGTGCTGTTTCCCAAAGCCAATCTTAGAAGTCCTTTTCCTTATATCCTCATTGCTACTGCAATGAAGAAAAAAACTAATCACCGTTAAACTTTGCCAGTCAGGAAAGTTAGTCTTCTTCAGCTTACCATCCCAATGGTGAGCATCTCTGTAAGTGGACACTTTCTCTAGAGAGCAGTATGGCTGAAAGTATGAGGCACAGAACACTCACTCCAATTCACTATTTTATGTAAAGAATGATGTCAGAGTTTATGCCTGCTGTTAGGATTAACTGGTGGCATTCCCACTGCCAGGTATCAAGACATTATTGCTATACTTCTATCACACTTTTTAAAAAGACTATTACACAACAATCTCTGGGAAGATCTGACTAATAACCAGTTTTTCTGTCTTTACTCTTTTGGGCTAGAGCAATCACAAAAGAAAGACTACAGCAGAAAAACAGCTGAGTCAGTAGCTCTCCAAAAGGATTTAATACTTGAATCTTTGTGAGTTTCTCTCCTTTTCAGCTCTGAAAGGAAAATGAAGCAGATACAGTTCTACATCCCTCCAAATCTCAGCCAGCGTTCAGGCTGGACAGAAGTGCCAGCCTGGCACTATGCTTTCACTGAGGTGGGCCAAGAGCATGCAACAAGGACAAGAGGCTGGTTCCATGTCTGCACCATCACACACCAGACAAGTCTGAACTTCTTCCAAGTAAGAAACACATATCAGATACTTCAGCCATCAAGTGGAATGGATGAGATAGCACAAACATGGTTTATTAAGAACTTGGACAACAGCATCTAGAATAAAATGAGTTTGTGTCCACCAAGCCCAAACAACAGTACTTCAAAGACTAAAAAGTGCTGCTAGATGAAGCTGAACTGAGAGCTATTTTATCATGTTTAGCAGGTCTAAGTGTATTTTCTGTTCTTGTTCCAAAATGTATTTACCTAGTTCCCACATGCAGCTGATGAATGCCATTAAGAGCTTTGACTAACATTGCCCAGTCTGGTGGTTTGTGGGCAGTATGGTGCTTAAGGGAAACATAAGAATAAGATCACTGAAAGAAAGCCAAATATACATCAAAGAGGAGTTTACTTGCTTAGCAATGTTACTCATGGACCAGTGAGATAGGGGACACTCACTGAAAGAAACAGCACTTCAGATCAACTTGTGAATGCCTGAAGTCCAAGAAGGCAGCACCACAGAGTTTCAAAAGAGCAGGACATGATCTCAGAAGAGAATACTTAACATTTCAAAAACGAGACTAATGAAATTCAGGTTTGTGTTCATGAGAAGGAAATTTTGAAAAGTGTAAGTTAAAACAACCAAATGCGTAAACGTGCTGAGTGTTAACATCCATCATAGGTTTGTGTTTTCCAACTGCCTCTCAGTTTCAAATCACCAGTACTTGCCAGAGACACAGAGCACTGCACCAAAGTTTCCTAAGAAAACACGTCTGACAGAGCATAGATATAACTCCCTGACATGATACTTGCAAAACCACGTCCCCTTAGTCTGCAGCCTTCCAGACTTTCTTTCCAACTTTCACACCTCAAGAAGTCTGAACTCCAGTGACTGAAGCAGAAGTACTCAGAACTTGCCCTAGAGCTTGAAAACCAGTAACCATCAGTTTAAAATATCCTGCCCCTTATGAGTGGTGCTTTGGCCTCCAACTATACTGTTGCAGAAGTGCAGCCACGCTGATGGCAGCAGGCAGAGAAGCAGTTGGCAGACTCCTGTTCACAAGCAGGACTCACCTCACGTGCTCTTTCAGCAGGCTCATAGTGGGATTTTGGCTCAGGGGTATGATAGCTTTGCTTATTTCTTTCTTGCTGCTGCTGCTGCTGCTGTTGCTGCTGCTGTTGCTGCTGCTGCTGCTGCCGCCTGTGATCGTGCTGCAGTGACAGGAGGTAGGCTTGCTCCTGCTGCAACTGGCGCTGGAGTCGCTCTGCCTGTCGGTGCTCCTCCATCTCTCGCCATCTGTATTCCTTTGAGAGAACGGGTGAGGAATTCAAGACGTGACACTGACTGTACGGTAGATGCGTCCCTACCAATCCCATTAAAAATGCACCTTTCTGGTTGCTGTTGCTTTTTTGTTTGTGTGTTTGTTTATTTCATTGTTAATGTGTAACCAAGAGCTAAGTTAGACCCATATGACTTGTGTCTTATGTCGGGAAAGTCATGAGTGTACTGCTCAAGTTTGACATGATTGGAGAATTATGTCAAAACTGATTTTTATTAGAGGGAAAAAAAGAGTTGTTTATACTAAATCCAGTGTAAAGTTCATAAAACAATGATTTAGACCAACACTAGGCCATTGTATCCTGGGGTGGATTTACATATCATGTGTGCTTTTGATCTGCAACACAAGCACTCTAGTTCTTCACTGAATGCCAAGGTCTGTTCAGAAACTTGACCACCACACCAGAACTGTTCCACTTTAACATAAAGCTTCCTCTTATTGCCCAGAAAGCAGTGTAACCATACAGCACTTCTCATATGTGCCTGTCAGCCCACAACACTAGCATAAATGGCCTTTTAATCAAGCTCCTTTGTTGTCATACTGTCAGTGCAGCTGTGCCCGACTGAGGGAAGCCTAGGACTGGCCAGATAAATGGATCCTATAGCTACTGAACAAAACAGATACAGTGCTTTACCAGTAACATGGCCTGCTCCTGGAGCAGCTGCTGCTGTAGAATTTCCAAGTGCCGCTGCTCCTCTTCTAGCTGTCGCCTGATATACTCCTGTCACATAGAAATTACCCAGCAATAAATTTATTCAAAAGGAATGCATCAGAACCCCCTGGGTGGAACACCACACGCTACTTCCCCAGTTCAGCTTTAATGAGAAATGCACTTCAGGATGGATTAGTGCCTGCAGAACAATTTAGGAAGCCCTGCCTCCTAAACATTAGATTTTGGCCCCTTCCGTTCTGAAATTTGCACTCCTGCAAATGTTGCCGGCACAGGCCAGAGCTCATTTATGTATTTTGGAAGTGGTTTCAAGAAGCAGCAAAATGCACTTGAAAGTTTTGGGAAGTTAAAACACAGCAAGTCTGACTCAACACAGCCAATACAAAGTCACATGCAAGTTGTAGTAAACATTAGTGTGTTGCACTGGTGCGATGAACTGTTAGCAACAGCTAGAGCCAGGCATAGTGTAGGCAGAGCTGGAGCAAGCTCCCCCAAACGGGCTCTGCCAAGTGCAATGGGACCTGCCCTGCCGAGTCTCCCCTGCCGCCCTCACCAGAAGCCTCTCCTGAGCAAATGCTGCCAGCCTTGCTGAATTATGCGATGGTTATGACACAAACAAACATCCACCAGGAAACAGATATTAGACCAAACTCGCTTGCTCTTGCCATCTAGCCATCTCTTCACCTGTAGCCTCAACAGGTCAAGACATTTACCCATCGCCTCACCTACCCCCTAGCAGAACTCAAACTCTGAAGCACCAAACCCAAGCTGGTAACATCCTATCATGCAATTAATGGAAGTATGTAACATGTGCATGCGCACACACACAAGCACACGCACACATTTACAGTGTATGCATAAAGAAATTAATGGATCAGTGATACAGTGATGGGAGTTATAGAAAGTCTTGTGACAGACTGATGAGATACACCATACTGTTGTTACGCACATTGGCTGAGCCACAGTTTGAGTTAACAAAAATTCTAAGAAGGAACGTGTCTTTTCTTCTAAAAAAAAGAATAAAAATTCAGAGTGGTTCAGCTTGGCCACACCAATTAACCATTTGTCATTACTGGCACTGTGCGTAATTAGCATTTCAACAGTTTAAAAAGCAGCTGGGGGAATACCCGGTGTCTGCCCAAAAGCAAATTGCTATGCTGTAATTAGAGATTTTCCATATATTTATTCCCATTGGTTAGTCTTCTCTCCTTTTGACTCAAGAATCTTTGAAACATACACAAACACAATAAAATTTCCCAGTAACACAATCATCAGTAATCTCAAAACGCTGAATTTACGTAAGAAAAAATTAAGGTACGTCAGGCCAAACCCAGCATTCCTGAAGTTAATGGGAAATTTACAATCAATCAGCCTCTAGGACAGAAGTTTTGGCCCTTTATTTGCAATCAGTATTTCGCAGTACATGCACAGTAAGTACTGCTCTGATTATCACCCTGATTAAAGTTATTAAAGGATTTTAAAACATGCAGATTTCATGCATAAATATAGCAGTTGAATTTCACAGTTTAACAAGTTTCTCAGTTGTACTTTCAATGTATTAAGGGCACAGTGGCATAATTTAAGATGTACTTGTTGCCTCAATGGGCATACATCACTGATTTTAAAGAGAGTAAGAGAGAGAAATTGCATATTGAAGTTTTAGGATGGAAAATCCTCTGCAGCTCAAAGATTCCACCTCAAATTCAGAGTACTCAACGTTCACGCCAATGACCAATTCTATGTGCCAGAAGCTGACACACAACAGAGCTGCCCTTCTCTTGGGAGACCTTCTGAACAGGGGCATGTCCTGCAAGAACCACTGATCCAGCATGACAAGCCTAGAAAGAGTTTTCAGAGCCTGTGATGATTTTGCCAATTCTGGTGATTTTAGTGCGGCCCAGGGGCACGAGCTGAATTTAGAATGAGTACTGCAACAAGACTTCTTTTTCTGAGAGAATATTGAGGCTGCCAGAATTTTCCATAAAGCCTTACAATCCTATGTTAGTGCACTTGCTGTCAAAAACAACAAAGATTAAAGAGTTAGTGTTACGTTGCCTCTAAGCTGATTTAGGCTTACTATTTTTTAAAGAATTAAATTAGAACTTAGAAGAAACAAACCTATTACACATATATCTGTATCATGGACTCACCTGCTCCCTTTCTACCCTCCTCTTTTCCTCCTCTGCTCTTCTTCTCTCTTCCTCCTCTTTACGCCTCCTCTCCATTTCTTCCAGACGTCTTTTTTCCTCCTGTTCTCTCCGCCTTTGCTCACGCTCTTGTTGCCTTCGAGCTTCCCTTTCTCTTCTTTGTTGCTAGAGAAAGGGAAAAGAAACCACAGAGTTTTACTTTTGTTGTTATCAAAGAAAGAGGTGGGGTTGTTTTCTATGGTGAAGAGCGGGATTTACCAGGACTAGCAAGCTCTGCAACTGAGTGACAAAACATTTTATGCAAGTGTTCCACCAGGAAACTAAACTCATACCCAGCACACATCTATCACTAAAAGCAGCCTCACTTAGACTCTCTGGTTTCTTCAATGCACACAAAGTCATGTACCATATTCCTGATGACAACTGAGGTGTGGAAGCTTACTCCTCTCTTCAAGAGAGGCTAACACAAATCCCAATCTTCAAACAACTGTTGAACTCAGAGATGACACTTTTCTTACATTAACGATCTACTGTTGTCAAAAGGGAATGCCAGCCCTATTGAATCAGCTAACTCAAATGCCAACTACCTCAACTTTCTGTAAGTAGCTTGTCTCTTAAAACAGTTCATGGTCTGCTAAGAATTTTGTGGTGTTGGCCCAACAATCAAGCTTAATTTAATGAACTGCCCAAAACTTTGCCTAAGAGAGAAGGAAGACTGACCAACAGAACCTCAGCTCCTCCCAGAACATCAAAAGCACCTATATGTAAAAGAGGAAAAGCAGCTGAAGTAAGATTTACACTTACACAGATAAGCCTCCACACATGACCCAAATACAAACTGGTGCTGATTAGGTCTGCTCAAGTCTGAAAAAAACCTGGAAAAGAGCTCTAAAACGCATGAACTGACTCATTTATGTCTATGGAGAACCATGTATGACTTCAGAGAAGACATTTTAAATGCCCATATAGTCGTGACCAATTCTTCCTGCACTTCAGCTTAAGCATCCAGTTACTCCACCTACCTCGAAATCCCAGGCAGCCTCCCACAACTGCCTAAGTGTCAAAAGACCCAGCTGTCTCCTGTTCAACCATCAACTGGGAATATCACTACATTTACTTTCTTTATAAGTTTCTATAATATGCTAAAAATATGGAAGAAATTTAAACCAAAAAATAGCATGCACAAATTTTATCCCAAGAAAAAAAATGAAAATCTACATTGGTTATTCCTCATCACATTTATGTTAAGGTTAATACTATCCCCAATTTCTATTGAAGCAAAGCTGCCAGAGATTTGCCTGTCTTGGGGCACTCCAAATAGTCTTACAAGAAACAGCACTCACACTTAATCTTTAATTTGGGTTCACAAATCCAGCTACTGGTGCGAGTTTCATAGTTGTGCTCAACTGAAAAAGCAAAGGCCGATCTACACTTGCTGCGTTACTTCGTGGGATGAGCTTTCTCTGCTTGGAACATTTTCCTGCATTACTATGAAGTAACTGAAATATCAACAGCCTTTCCATCTTCTGGAATCTATACTGACATGACAGCAGAGAAAAAATACTAGGGGGGGAAAGAAAGATGGTTCTTGGGTTTTTTCTGAGCTTTTCTGCCAAGAGAAGTTGTGGATGTCCTATCCCTGGCAGTGTTCAAGGCTAGGCTGGATGGGGCTTTGAGCACTGGAAGGTGTCCCCTGACCATGCAGGGAAGTTGGAGCTGGATGGTTTTAAAAGAAAGGTCCTTCCTACACAAATCATTCTGTGATTCCATCAATTAGTAGCACTTAAATAAGACAGGCTGCTTTCAATTCTCTTTCATTAACTACAGTTTGGGGGAAGACTTTCCTGAAGACCACTGTTGAAATACACCCCCCTGTAATTATCATGCCCTCTTTCCTGGCCCATAGCATCATCCTGGGTTCACTACCACCTCCCTATGCTACAAGACACAAGCTCTTTTATCCCCCACACTTTCTGTATGTTCTCACAAACACAGCTTCCTTGCTCTTGCATCTCTTCTAACTAAATCCATTTACCAGCCTTTTCACTTGTGCTCAAGTCAGCTCTCCTCAACGAATGTAGATATAAAAATAGCAAAAGTGCTGCAAGGCACCTACGGCACGCGGTGCATTTCATAGGTTTCACTGCTTCCCCTCCCTCATTTTTTAAACACCATAAAAGGATTAAGCAGGCATTTTTATTTCTGAATATATGCATCAGTGTCAAGCAATTTCGACATTTAAGTCAATATATTCAGGTCCTTCTTGGCTAATCAAGTCTGACAAGCTTTTGTTTAAGAAAACTAAGATGTGAAGTACAATAATTCTGCTGCCTTGAGGATGCAAGAGACAGCACACTGCTGACTGGTTAATATAATATGCACATTTATCAACTCAAACAATATTGTGTTGACATTGTTAAGTGGATATATTGCAGATCTCAGAATGGCATAATTCTCACTACAAGGAAGACAGGCAAATTTGTCGCTTCTTGAATTAATTCAGAAGTATTCAGCAATAATTATTAATAACTGAACTTAATATGAGGAAAAATAAGCTACAAACTGATTAAGAGCCAGTTTCCCATGGCAGCACAAAATAAACAAAATCAATTGTCAAGACATGAGATTTTTAATGAAACCTTGATCCAAATATCTAACACAGCACATCAGCAGATATTTATTACCCAGCAAAAGAATAGGTGGAGAAAAAGGATTTAAGTCAAATCTCACAAATGTGCTACTGTCTATGCACCAAAGTATGCAGGGAGATGAGGTTTCTCAGCATCACTTCCACCTTCCCATCAGACACTACCTCAGCCTCTTGCCAGGTGAGTGGGAAGGCAGGTACCCAGCATTGCAGGAGCCCACACAAACACACTGCATGATCCCCTTATTCCCAGCCCCAGCTGTAAAATAAAAGTTTCACTTCCTTTGCACATGGTCTTTGAAACCTCAGCATCAAACCAGTGGTCACTAACGAAGTGGAATTTACTTTTAACACATCCAGGGAGAGGAAACCTACAGTAACAACCATCTCTTGGGTCCTAGTCCACATTTGGTCAAAGTAATGCCAAAGGTAGTTGGTACCAAGTTGGGTTGACCCAACCTGGCTTCAGAGCCAGCCCTACAGCTGACTTTCTTGCCTCCATCTGTTGGCACAAGGTTGCCTTCCTGACTGGCTCTAGCAACTCTTCCATGAGGACACCAAAACCCTGATCACTGTGTCTCTTAAGCTTGTCCAAAGGACAAGAGAGAGACAGGGAAAACCATTAGTTAAAACCAATGTCATATTTCTACATATAAAAAATTGCCTTCTAAATTTAGTTCGTGTGATTGTCAGATACTGTAATTTTTTGTCAAGCACTACAAAAAAGGCCTGACATAAAACACTGCTGTCCAATAAAAAGCAGGTATAGATCTATATTCCTTAACTAATGGATGAATATCTAGATCACCTTTAGTTCAGTATGGCATTACCAACTTTCTTGCGCATGTCAGATAAAAAGCTTATTTCCAAGGAGCAAACTGTTAGCCAGAAAATAAGGCAAAAACTCTTCAAAGAAATGTCAGATATGCCAAAACAGAATTTTGACAGAGCCCATGCTGACTCAAATTACTGCATTTCACAAAATGGGCATTTACTATGCAAACAACACTAAAATAAAAAACACAAAGAAAATACAGTGTCAATATTCTGGGTACTTATCTGGTTTTAGGGTGCAATAGTGATGATCTCATAATGGAACCTGACATCTCTAAACTGGAAGTCCAGTGCAGTAAAGCATGATTTACCAGGAGGGGGCAATGCAACTACACATGCAGTTCATCTATACCAACGAATTCAGGCCTTCATTCATAATGAAATGCTCAAGATAGATACAGATCCTTTAATTTTAAACTCCTAAAATATTATTACTGTGTCTCATATTCAGAAGAAGATTGATGATACCTATATTAATTATTTCTTCCACAAAGAATTAGGTAGCCTAGTATCAGCTTAGAAAGAGGATTGGCAAGATTAATAAAGAGATTTTTGCTTTGTCCACACTGGAGATAAACCAGAAGTAGAACTTCTTACTCAGTACCAATCCAAGCTACAAGCAATTCAAATTAAGTAGATAAGAATAAGCTCCCATTCTGTGAAAGAAATAAAGCCCTGGCAAAAATTGCCTGCAGGTACACCTACATTAGCATCTTGGTTCAGATTAGGAGTGCTCTCTTGAAGTGAATCATCCAAACATCTCCACTTATCCAGTTTTGTTTCGTATTTTGAAGATGTGTTGGAGTGCCAACCACACCTTTTGGATGAAATTAAAAAGGCTGATGCACTCCAACCACAAGCAGGCACAGAGTCTAGACCTCAGCGAGTCCAAAGGAATTCCTCCTGTCTTTAAACACATGAAGTCTTCAGGTCCTCAGCACTTTAATTATTGTGCTCCACGATCTGCTTCTACAGGACTGTACTACCTGCCAGTATAGCTATAAGCCACCATTTCAAAAACATCCATCTTAGGTTCTCATAACCAGGGACACCAGGGACAGAGACACCATTTAGTGAAGCTATTCTGAACTGGGGAAGTCCACAGAGAATGAGATTCCACCACAGCCAATTCTGAATTTCCTGAGCCAGATTCAGTTTTGCAAAGTACAAATTCAAATGCCTTCTCATACCCAGCAGTTGTCTCCATGTTGCTGAACAGAATCACAGATCCACATTAAAACAGCCAGGAACAGCTCAGATTTCTTGTTTAAACTATCTAAACACCTACACAGTTGATGGTAAAACCCTCCCTTTTAAAGAAGGGTTGGGGGTAGGACAAAATCTCCTACCCAAAATTCTCAAGTAATTTTCTGTAGTTTGACCAGGTCATTTTCACCTCCTCAGTAATACACAAACTACATGGTTCCTGCAACAACAACTTTTAGAAGTCACCTATATGCCTTTTAAAAAGTAATCTTTTCCCTAATACTGCTGAGAATTACAGTTTTTGGCAGATGTCCTAAACACCGTTCCTGTTACAGTCTCGGTCAAAACCGTCTAGGCTCTGTGCCAGCATTGTAAGAACAAGCCCTCAATTTTAATTTAGGAAGTGGGGAGGGAGGGAAGTATATGCAACTTGTTCAGGAAGATTATCTAATGCATAAAATTCTACCAGAGAATATTAAATAGGTATATGCATACATACTTTACACAAGCAAAAATTACAAGAAAGCAAGTCTGGTAAAAATATCAACGAACTTAAGAATGCCCTGAGCTTCAATGCCTGACACTAATCTTGACTTCCATTACCAAGGGAGTCTTCATTGTTTACTGGCTTCATCAAAACAGGGGGGTGAGTTAAGGACAAAGTGACAACATTTAAATATTTCGGCCTTCAACTGTGTCACAACACTGATGTTTATCTAAATTTGTGTCTACCACCCTTCCCCCATCTGAAGGATCTTGTTTTGGCTGCTGTTTTGTTAAAAACCACTTGGGATCATATATTTTTCCAACACAAGATCCAATTAACTAAGTAGGGTTTTTTTGAAAGCTAATGTGAGTTATTATTTTAATGCACTTGATGAACAAAATGCCCACACCATCACCTGCAAAAGGAAACTTTTGTAACTCACCATTCCTATTTATGCCTCCAAGGGAACTAGGCAGAGGTTACAGACCCATACAAGGTAAAAAGCTTTGATCTTATGAATTTTACATGTTTTACTGTGCAACCTTATTCAGTAATACAATCTACATTACATGCTGTCTTGTGGTTGTGGAAGATGTCAGTTTTATTTTGGATTTTAAAAAGCAGGACTGATTAAACATAACTTTCAGGTAACTGCCTTTTCTTTCTACTTGCTCATTCGGCTGTAACTGCAGCAGCCCCAAAAAGTTCAAACCATGGAGGGAAAATAGTGCATTGCTTTGTTTCCAATACTAGCAGCAGCAGTTCCTTTATTTTAAAAAGAAAATCCAGATTTTAAGAGTTGCACTGATTACTAAAGTTAAATGACCTAGATAATTTAATTGTAATCCTCTTCCTCAACAAAAAATACTGCCTGCAGAACCTTAGAGATTAAAGGGGCATTTAAAAGAAATCATTGACTCCTGTATTAAGAAAAATTTGAGCGGTTAAGCAGTAGCTCAACTTTTTCCCACCTTTGACAATATCAGTATTTTATTTTCATATTTTTCTAGTGTCTTTTTTATTATTTACTCCTCCCACAAACAGTCTAAAGTTGGAAGTGCTATGAGGTTTATCTTGGCATTCTCTGAAGGGTGGGAAAGAAACAGAAGAGAAATGGGGTTTATATGCCTTCCGCTCATCCCTCCTTATGGATTCATGTGTGGCTGACTACCAATCCCTCCTTATAGCAGCACTAAACTCATTTGCACTTTGGAAAAGAGGGATAAGGAGCATAATGTGACCTGGAAAGGTATTTGGAACTTTGTATTACTTGTTATGCAAACAGGTCACGGGATGCAAATCAACATTTGGTCCTGGTTGCATCCTCATTAAACGTTACCAGGATTTGGAAAACCAGACTGGGTGTAGTTTTTCCATCACTGCTAAGTGAAAGGTTGAAACAGACTCAAGCAAGAGGTCATTTAAGGACAACTGGAATTTGACCCTGCACTTCCTGAAGAGCCAGAGGATTGGTTTCACATCAACTCTGTGTCATACCCAGCTCTGGCCAGAAGAGCTGTTTTGAAATCTTCCTATCTCTGAAGCTCACACTGCATATTCCATCTCCATATACATATATATAAATGCACACAAGATCTGAGGAGGTGAAAAGTATGACAGAACAATATTTTCCACATATATTCAATTCCTCTTATCTTCCACTAGTGTACAGAAATTGCATACTTACTGTGTCACAAAAGTATGATTTATATATTTGTAATTCCTGCAGAATTATACTATTAACACTGATTTACAAAACATATTTAGTTCTACCTTTAAAGGCCCCCTTCCAATCCAAATCATTCTATTATTTTTTGATCTAGGTGGCTTTTTAGTCATTAAGCTACTGTGCATGAGAGAGTAATACACTAAAAAACAGGCTTCTATCTACCATGAATGAGTGCCAAACACATATGTTTGAGAAAGTTTTAAAGGGAAATTTTTAAGGGAAATCTTAAAGGGAAAAATGTTATGGTCCTCCAAAAAGTACTCTTGAGAGAAAAATCCATCTGGGAATAATTTATGTCTCCTCTTCTCTACACCTACCTAAGCCTAGACAGAGACCAAGAAACAGCCTCTTCCCCAAAAAACACCTTCAAACAACGCAGCTCTCGCTCCTGTTTTCTTCATAGGAGCTGCTGGATAGTCAAACGCTTTGGAAGATATCTTATATTCAAGTGGCCAAGCATGGATTTAAGTGTTTTGCTCTACATTTGCAGGTGGATTCTCACATGATGTTTCCATCCCTGAGACATCCTGGGGCTACAAGGAATTCTTTTTAAATGGGTGCGGGAATGGGAAACAAAAGGGGGAGAGGGGCTTCTGCCCCCAAACTCCAGTCTCCTGTTTCTACCTCTTCTAGCCTCCTCCTCTGCTCCTTCTGCTGCTCACTGCGTTTCTGCTTCTGTGGCAGCTGCTGTCTCCGAAGGGCCTCGGACCGTTCCTTGTTTTCCTGCTGCAGTCTCAGGAAATCACGTCGGAGGGTTGATTCTCCAGGCACATTGACAATGGAACTGCAACAAGAGGAAGTTAAAGCCTTCTGGATGATAAAGCCTGATGGGCCATTAAATACCTTTGCCAAAGCAGGGGAGCATTAATAAAATATATCATGATGTTAAAGTTTAATCTCATTTCTTTCAGAGCAAAGACGCTGGATGTATGTCAAACACACGCTCTCAGTGGAAGGTGTGAAATGAGGCCAGGCAAAGCAAGGATGAATGCTAACATTGTGAAGACCTGATCAATCATATTTGCCATAAATCTCCCTCCATGCAGAGTTTGTTGGCTCTAAGTCATAAGAACGGGAGTTTTCAAACCTTTAACAGTCACAGCAAAGGTATTCAAACCCTATGAGTGGTTTGTGCATCCACTTAATAAGAGAGAAATTTAGCATGCTGGTATATAATCACAGACCTTTAGACTTGACATGGACTGCCCAAAGCTATCCCAAAAGCAATTATTACCTTGGCTCTCCTTCTTGTTCAGGCACTTCTTCCTCTTCTTCCTCACTTCCACTATATTCATACTCCGTCTCATCTAACAGGAAAGAAACAAAGGCCTGGATAGTACTTTAATTTTAGGGCAGTGGGGAGTTGCAGTAGCCCCTCAGTAAACCAGCTCCTGTCCCCTTCAATGAGAAGATCTATCACAGACGCTGGAACTCATTCTGTATATATAAGCTCATCTTCCCAGCAGCACAGTGGTTTGGAGAAGACTTCCAGCAAATTCCCTGAACAACACCAGGTTTGATATGTAAGACAAGACACCTGGAAAACTTCAGCATCACCTGAATAAGGAGAAAAGGCTGCCCAAAACATTTGCTTCACAGCTCTTGTGATGGGTTATTTCCTGTGAGTCTGATTCATGGCATCATTCCAGGAAATGAACCTACCACAGACTAAAGAAGGGAAAGACATATAATGCCAATATTCTCCTAAATACTGTTTAACGCTTGTATGGAAGAGCCAGTGGCTAACAGGTGAGTAAATTTAACATATCAGAAAATACAGCACTTGAAACTGATATTTTCTCTGTAAAGGACAGAACAAAACGAAGCTTTCTGATAGTCAAACTATTAATTAGCAAAGAACTTTTTAAGGATTTGGGCTATAGGGATGGGTTTTAGAATGCAAAGCAGGACAAAAATATGCATTTTTGACAAGTTGCAAAGACTTGATTTTTAGAAGCTGCTTACCTTTCTCTCCTCTCTTCTTCCTGGTCCTGTCTATATGGTCCTTAAGCTGGATTCGGACTTGCCTTTCATTTGGCTGGTCACGTATAAAGGGATGTTTCAACAGTTGTTCTGTAGAAGGTCGCTGCATGTAATTCTTCACTAGACAACCTTCTATAAAGCTGAAAAACTTTTTCGACCTGAGAAAGCAGGAAGGAAAAAACAAAACAAAGCAAAAGATGAGAGGTAAAACTCAACTGAAACATTTTTTCTGTTCTTCCTCAAATTCATTTCCTCAAAGAGCATCATGTCCCAGAGGACAGGACAAGTGGTGCCTGGAAGTGCTCCTCCTAAACAGATCTGAGTGTGCTCCAGCTGAGCACTGGGCTGGAGTGACACAGGGTGACATGAACATACTTAGAGCACTCAGGCACAGCCTCATGGTAATGTGCCCTCTTTCAGACGCATAATTGTTCTGAAAGTCAGGATCTATGAGTGAGGTAAATCATGTAAACCTAGCCTAGTTGCTTCTGGATCAGGGAGGGCAGTTCTGGTGTGCCTCCACCTACCCATGCTACAGACAGCCAGCCAGCCATACCCAAAGTCAGGAGAACTGTGTATGCCATTCTCCTGACACAAGCAGCACCACACTGCTTTTGCATGCACCTGGGCTCACAGAGTTAGATCTGCCAGAATTAAATTATTTTAGATTATTTTATTTTTTTGCCTTAAGAGTCACATAGAAAAGAATTTTTATAGAACAAGAGGTGGATGTTGGTCAGTGCTGTCTGTTCAAAACAGGCACTTTGGGTCAAATTCTCCCTGATACAATTCAAGAGCATGAACTAAACTAAACCCCTCCTGCACACAGCATAAAATAACAGGGTACGGGAGTTGGCTAAGCTGCAGCACCACCTTCCAAAATTTGCATTTCATTTGAACTCTTGAAAGAGGACTTCTACAGAAAGAAGTCACCAAACAAGCCACCTGCCAAAATCCAATAGTGGAAATACTCAAAACTGCGCTGAGGCACTGGAACAGGCTGCCCAGAGAACCTGTGGATACCACATCCCTGGAAGAATTCAAGGCCAGGTTGGATGGGTTTCTGAGCTACCTGAACTACTGGACGGCATCCCTGTCCATGGTGGGGTTTAGAACTAGATGATCTTTAAGATCCCTTCCAACCCAAGGCATTCTATGATGATTCTACAACGTTGTCATCATTTGGCCTATCTTCTCATGACCTGCCACTGAGCACACTATCAAAACAGTTGAGTGACAGCAGCACTGCCTTGGGCCAGAGCTGCTTTTTAATTAATAGCTGCTCTCAACCTGCTCCAGTGCTTGGAGAGCAAACATCCTAACTACATGGTAAAGAGTAAAAACAATTATTTCCATCCATCAGTTCACTTCCCTACTGCAATAAAAAAGGCTGAATCCAACATAATTTGGTTGTTCAGATTTTTTTATTCCTCACACCTTGAATGTTATTATTTCACATAAAAAGGTTAATGAAAGGCTAATGCAAATGGTGTATATGCATCTCTATTCCCTTAATACATGCAGAAGAGGCAAGTAAGAGAGAGCGATGCCTGGACAGCATACAAGTGCATAAATAAGTCAATCCAGGTAAAGACCAAGCTCAGCAAGCAAGACAAGTTTATACCATGTTGATATTGAATAAACAGTCAAATCACTTCATTATTTTGACAGGATCACAGCATCTCATGATCACATTCAATCTATAAGAAATCCTTTCTAGGGAGTATTTTTGTTTCATATGTGCCAGTTGTAACCAGTAACTGGGAGGAAATCCTCTGATACTAATGGATTCTTCTCAGCTGGCAAGAAGCAGGCACTCAATTCCAACCGTTTACAATAATTATAGTAAAAGCCTTCATTAGTTTTAATAGCTCCTTTCTATTTAGCAACTAGAACACCATAGTACTGTTCTGTTTCTGTGTTATGATACATCTGAGAAAACATACTGCATATTAAGAGTGTTGCAGGAGTTTGTATTTTAAAACATGAATTCATTTGTCACCTTAATACAGATGCTGCTCTACAAAAAAAATCCCAAAACCTTGTTATTTATTTTCGCATAATATGAGAAAGAATTTCTCTGGGACAAACAGAAGAAAATAATGCACACATTTTATTTAATGCTCTGATTCAGAGGCACGAAAGATAACAGATTTCTGCTAACTTAAATTGTTTTACAATTCTGTGGAAGGGCTAACAAAATGGTATATGAAAAAACTTCGTGCTACACAAGACTACAAACAAGATATAATTGATACATACCATTTCTTGGATTTTAACCGTGGGGGAGGGTTCCTGGGTATCAGAAAGAGTGCCCTCATGGGGTGCATGTCACAAAGTGCTGAAGGGAAGAAAACAAAACCACACAGAGACATACAGACACTGTTTTAGTTCCTCTCTGTCAATGCCATGGCTTCAGCTTCCACAACCACTTCCACCATCCTAAACATCCATGCAGCAGGTGCAGAAAGCAACACAGCTAAATGGAATTAGCCCAAAATAACAAAAATTCCATAGCTCAATGTGCCAATGGTAGCCCAAAAAGAGAAAGAGACTGAAGCATGGATCAACCTCCAGAATCAACCAAGATGGGAACATCTGAGCATGGCCCTCCTCCAGCCCCAAGTCATCCAACTTACTCTCCAGTCAATAAAATACTGGGAGATGATGATGGTGGAAGGGAACAATGAGAGTTACTGTTTCATACAACCTTCCGTCTACCTGCCCTTCTCTCTCATTACAGAGGGTGCTTCATTTTTACTCCCCAGACCTTGGGTATTTACTTCAAGGCATGACAGTTTTGAAGCCTGGGAGGGTCTGTATCACACAAAAGGATTGCCTGCAGAACTGAAATGGAAACCCATAACTTTTGTCCAAAGAAGTCCTGTTTGTTTCAGTGGACATTTAGTGGGAGTCCAGGATCAGTGTTGGACAGCTTTTCCTCCAGTTCCATAGCAAAGCAACATGGCAGAGTCAACACAGGGAAACAAGGGAGCAAGGAGAGAGGCAGCCCAAGAAAGGTCTCTAGGAGAAATGTTTTAACCATCTTCCTATGTTTGATTTCTTACACTCTCAGTCTCAGCCTGCAGGATGAGGTGACATTCACCACACAAGAGAAATTCAGGAGAAACAGACTGATGTGAAGAGAATTCTGACTTCAAAAATAAGGAGACAGAATGTTGGGAAAGAATTTCCTTGGATGCCTATGGGTCCCTGCAGACCACCAGACATAGAGACGGACTCTTCAGCTGCTGGTGGAAGAGGAGGTAAGGCCCATGTACCAGAGGACAAGAGCTGCTCAGCACTTGCAGAGGATCTCTGCTTACTTCTAAAATGCCACTCTTGTGCTTTTACACAAAGAAGGGCCAAGCTCTGCTTTAGTTTAGAAATGAACAAAGTATTATTGTCCAATTCCAGGCTTACAAAGCCCACAGCTTTTTAATTGAAAGCCATACAGATAACCCAATGTGCTGAACAAAGAGGTACTGCAAAAAGGAGTAGTTCACTTCAAACAGTGCTGGCTGAAGTGTCCTGGGAGCAGCTCTCATTTGGACATTCATGCAAACATGCAATTAGGAAGGAAAAAGGAAACAACCCCAAAGTATCAGGCCTCCTAAAACATAAATCAACACATGACTATTGTGATTTGGTTTTTAAATCTGACATTAAAGTCAGTAAGAACAACAGCAAAATCAGGCAGCAGCTACAACAAAATGACCAATTTTTAGCTGGAAAATATCAATACTTTATTTCAACATGGTTATTTCAAAGACATTTCAAGCTGGGTTGTGTTGTGGTGGTAGATTTTTATGTGCAAAAAAATTAACTTACTCTTAGGTACCTTAGGCTCTTATTTTTTAAATACAGAGCTCCAGCTGAGGGTAAGTATACTTGCAAGATCAGTATGGACTTTCATTAAAATAATCATTCAAAGTCAAAACACCATGCCTAACTTATTTTCTTTTCAAAGGTTTGTCCTCCTCACACATCTGCTGTTTGCCTTTATATTCTGAAAGAACTACGTGAAAGGAAAAGAACCCATTAAAAAGTTGGGCATTTTTGGTTTCCAGGTTTTCCTCTTAAAGCCAGACTAACAGATAATGATCCCTGCTTGAGAATACCTAAGTTCAGTGCTTTGTCCTGAAGAAAGATTTACAGTTTAAGCCATGTCACTGCCAAGGAAGATTAACACCACCCACTGATGAGTGGAAACAAAAGGAGAAGCAATGTTAGCATTATCCAGACTGACAAAAAGCCAACACAGAAATAGCTGCTACAAATGCTTTTTTCATTAAGATCTGTTTCCTCAAGGCCCCACTGACCCCCCACCCCAGCTGAGGTTTCAGTATTCCAGGCCAGTCCATAGACAAAGTGGGACACAGCTCCAAAACACAATATACTACCCATAGGAAGGAAGTCAGACACTCGATTAGCTTCCAAATATTCCTGCTATAGAAATTAAATTACTGCAGTCTGCACTGTAGTGTTCAAACACAACCCTATCTTTATCGAAAGCATTGCTATTTATGGGATTTTATATTTATAGAGCAGGCAAAACCAATGAGAACAGAAATAACATGGGGATACTTTCAGAAACCTCAAAACTAGGCTTAGATTACAACCAGCATGGCCCAAGTGTATGTTTCAGCCTTAAGGAGCCCGCTGGAGAAGCACAGGTATCACTTACGGGGAGCTCCTTCTGCCATCTCTATGGCCGTAATGCCGCATGACCAAAGGTCACTCTGCAGAAAAAGAGACACACCAGATGTTAGTAGGTGGATTCACCCATTCACACAGTAAGAGACTACTATTTAGAGAGGCCCTGTAGGTGAGGCTGAAACCAAATACCATGGCATTTAAATAATATAAGCCTCTGTTATCTTGTAACTGTATCATAAAATCCTACTTTTTCACGTAATACATATGTATATGCAGAAACACACATGCATATTCTTACAGAGTGAGCAAACAACCCTTTCCAATAGCACATAAAAATATATTCACATTATGACAATGGGAAATACATTTGCCAGAAACCTAAGCCTATGAAACAACAGAATTTTCAATATTCCCTTGTCAACAAAGAACTGAACAAGGGCATTCCCAGGGTGTGTAGAGAAGCAGCTATAAAAGCAAAAGCTCAGCTCAAATTTAAAGCGGCCAGACTTGTTGAAAACTACAAGAAAGGGTCTTCAGGTATGCAAACAAACAAGAACAAAAGGAAAATACTGAAGGCTCACTGAAAGGAGAGGTGAATTAGTCACCACTGAAAAGGCAGAGGTTCCCAAAACTTACACCTCTGTCTTTACCACAGGCTCCTAAAATTTACACCTCTGTCTTTATCACAGGCATTACTTACAGCCAAAGCCAAAATTCCTCCCCTAACATCTCAGCTTAGCTTAAAACACTACAGAACAAGAGTCTTTCAGTGGCAGCCTTTTAAGGAACCACCTCTGGCCAGCACCTCTGACTTGGGAGAGACCAAACAAGAGCCAGGAAGATCAAACGCAGGGAAGAGATGGAGGAGTCCTGTCAAGGAACCAACTTCAGAGACCGATACAGCTTAATGGGCAAAATATTGGAGGTGACTGCTGTGAAAGAGAGCTGTTCTTGAGAAAAGCAGTCTTCATTTCTGGTCATAACTGTGATTTCTTAAAAATTATTTGAAACTAATGAGCAAATAAGCTCTTCATGTACTACAAGCAGAGAAGCATTTCAGAAGATCGTATTTTCAGACCCAGCAAGGCACTCTTCTCTTAGTCAAATGCAGACATTTAAGCCAGATTGCACATGCTCATGATCTTACAGAATCTTTCAAACATTAATTTTTTGTGAGTGACCACCCTGCAGGCTCCTCCAGGAAAATAAGCAGGTGATTTCAGAGGCCAGAAGAGTTATTTTTCACATCACTACTGCATTAACAAATATTGCAGGGAGTTTTTCTGCTGTATTAAATCATTTAATAGCAAACCTTCCTTGCTAAAAATAACAACACTATCTGGAAAGATATAAAACATTAGGTTTAGTACAATGAGATGCTGAATGTAAAAAGCAATTAAATCAAGAGAAATAGGATCAATCTGATCAATCTTTGTCAAAATGTACAAAACCACCAATTCATATAATATGGGTCTTTTACCAAGATTTAGACACACACAAATATACTGATAGCTGACACTATCAGTCTCAGCAAAGTGATATAATTGATATTCAGCTCTGTAATTCATTGTAAGGCCTTAGTCCCTGGCTTTCTGATATCCTTGTTACCCTTGGTTAAAGTTGGAACAATGCATTAGTCTAAGTAAAGATTTCTTTAAAAATATATTTTTACATTTTTTCTTTCCTTGTGCTCTCGTTAAAGCTGAGAGGAAATTTCAAGATTACAGTATGTTTTCACTAGATATATTTTACTTTAAATACATGTATCTAATATTCTTAAGGGTAGTGCGAATACCATCAAGCCAATTATGGTCTTGCAGCAATTAAATCCTTGGTTTGCAGCAAGCTATGTAAAGAATGATCCTTGCTAAGAAATGGATAAATTTTTATCAAAAAAAGAATGTATATGTATTCTGAAATCAGAGATAGTTTTAAGAGTTCCTTCTGTACTTCACTCTCCAGACGGTGGTTCTATTTAAGGCAACACCTGAAATGTATTGTTCTGGGTTACCACAATAACTGGGACGTAGTGCAACACAATTTAACCTACAACCTTTATACAACTGAGAACACAAGCATTGCCAGGTAAACTCCTTTTTGCCTTCTCTGAGTACCTACAGCACCCTGAAGTCCTGGATTTACATCTCAAAGCTATAATAAATACAAGCAGCAGAAACTGTTAAAGGTCACAATTTGACCTTACCTTGTACTTTGGTAATAATAACTACAAAAAATAATTATTATTCCTACAAAGCATAAGAAGTCTCAAAAACTGCCATAGCTCACAGACATTTATATTGCACATGTATATGTTGGGTTTTTTATTTGGACAGGACTCTTACTCTGTAATCATACGTAGCATCTGGATTCTCATCACAGGCAATAACTTCTGGAGCCATCCAGTACGGAGTCCCAATAAAAGTGTTTCTCCTGCCAACTGTCCTGTCCAGTTGAGCACTCACACCAAAATCCACTGTGGGTGGGAAAAGAGTAAAATGAAATAAGAGAGGGGAAATAACGCAATGATTACTTTTGTAAAGTAAAGCCCTGTAGATGTCCCACGAGAGAGGACCATGCTGAAGAGAAATAAGACGATTATTCCTGAGGCAAGTGAGCCCTCATGGCTCACACACAATGTGCTTGGGCACAAGTGTCAAGGGACACAGCAGCATACAATCACCTCTCCTTTACCTCTTGCTGGTCTGCCTGGACCAAAGAGAGAGCACAGCTGCAGAACTACTGTCTGGGAAGCTGAGAAAGGGCTATTTATTCCCTTCCCACATGGTGAAACCAAGCACCTTTGCCTATACAAAAACAACCACTTCCCAAAGGTACCTCTCATGCTATGGGAAAATCACATGCATAAACACATCCCTTTCAGCTCACCACTTTTTCTGCTCTAAAATTGGACAGCAAAAATAACCTGTTGTTCAGCAAGCTGCTCTCTGCTTTAATGCATAGAGAAACATCAATGAGAGCAAAAGATGAGGATTATTCAGGAAGTGCTAACTTGGAGCACACACGCACAGGCTGTGAAAGAGATACCCATTTCATTACAAAGCAATTACATTACAAAGGTGTTTTCTGCCTTTCATTTCACCCTGCTCATGATCACAGTGCTCTATGTCCTTCTCTCCCAGTAACTGCATCTGCCCGAAGAGGGCTGTGTCAGCTTCACTGCACCGACCATCTGAGTGACACTGACAAACTCGGGTAGACAAGCTCAGTGGAAGCAATGGTTTGGAGGCTACTGTGCTCCATTTTGGACCAAAGGAAGGAAAACTCTCCCGAGAGCTTCCTCCTCCAGCAGCCGGGACAACTTCCCATGCCTCATGCTGCAGGAAGGTGTAATGCAATCCAGAAGGGATGTGGGCTGGGTGGGAGGGCTTCAGCATGCCTCTATATTTAACGAAAAAAAGGTGGCGAGTTTAGCATGATACAAATACAGAAGGTTGACATGTGCACTAACTGAAAGAGACAAATTAGAGAGGAAATCAAAAAAGAGTATGTCCACTTGGCAGGAGAGAAGAGGCCAGGGATGAGCACGATTTTCAGCAGGCATGCCAGAGCTGGAAGTGTGTTTTGAATTCAATGCCACAGCTCCCTTGAGAGTGCTGTCCAGATCATATTTTTGTGTCCAGAACCTGAACAGCAGGTGCTATTTTAATTAAAACCAAATACAAGAGAGACTCCTGTCACTTCCCAAGTCCAGAATAAAGTGAATCAGAATAGACTCAAGTTACACACAGCTCAGTAGGGGAAACAAAATGATCCCTGCACTGATTCTGGCATGAAAACCAACATCTTCCAACCAAATTCAACAACAAACTGTGCTCCGTCCTCTCCAAGCAGGAGGAAATACATGCAGGCTGTCAATCCACATGGAACCACCGACAGAGTACTCATGCTATAAAAGATGTTGCAGGGCTCTTAAAGGATGAAATTAATTTGGGAACATTGTAAAACTAAAGGCTGAACAAATGAGGAAGTGGACATGTGTACCTACTTACCAAGTTTCACTTCTGCATTCTCTGTTAACAACACATTTTGCCCTTTGATATCCCTGTGAATCACATGATGGGCATGGAGATGTGCCAACCCCTGCATAAAGGAGAAGAGAGGAAGGAGAGAATGTTCAGAGTTAGGCTCAGCAACAGATGACCCATACCCAGCAGCCCCAAAGATCACAGCCCTGGGCCTCGACCTCTTGCAGCTGGGTGCAATGGGATCTGCAGCACACCACCCACACAGCTTTTGGTGATGGAGCAGAGACACAGGCCTCAGCTTATGCACACACAGTACCTAAACACAGCCCAACATCTGCACTGTGCAAACACCTCCCAGCTGTCCTGTGAAGAAAGTTCAGCTCCCACAAAGTCTCACTGCAATTACATTCTAAATGACATCAGTGTAGATGTATGCCACTGACTTCTGACGTGCACAGGGTTACACAGAATTTAGCAGGGAAGGGAGGTGGAAGGAGAAAGGAGGCAGCATCCACATGTATATATGCACCCCTGAGAAGGAGCTGGGGGTGATGGACTGACAGTCATGTTTGAGGGCAAGGGAGGACAGATGACAAAGGCATGCTGTACTGCAAAACTGCAGTTCTCTAGCCTCTATAAACATGAAGCCAGATAATTGTACCTCACGAAAAAAATGCAAAGGGGGGAAAAAAAAAGCATACGCATTATACTTTCCAAAGGAAACAAAACCTCCTGGCATACGGAGCTTTTTGTTGAGACAGCACCTGGATACATGCCCCAAAGCATTAGCCATGTGGAGGGAGGGCTGAGAAAGACATATGTTGCATTTTACTCTCTAATGTAATTGGGAGAACAACAGGCAACCCTCTCAGCAACTGCCTGTATTTTGGGCTCTCCTCAGTTTTCTGCTTGGAAAATTGTAGTCTCCAGTGGGATCATCTTGCCTGTTCGTGTTGCCCTCATAGTCATTTAATGTTTTGAGAAAAATAAAGAACTAGAACCTTTACAGCTGCAAGAGGTTAAGAGAATAGTGGTTGCTGTAGAGAAGTATTTCTTAACACATGTTCTTCATTAACTGATCATTTACCAGTTTCCTACATAACCATTGGGCTGTTTTCCTTTTTTAAAACAGTTAATGAGTGTGACATAGAAACACCATCCACAGCTTCTCTTCCACACGTCACAAGCAAATCAAGTGAACAGCTGATGTCACTGAGACCCTTCACTGATTGCTAATGCTAAGTGTGGTCTAATTTTTCACAGGAATGAAGGCTTTTCCACAGCTTCACACAGGATATTTTTTAAAGCTTTCTGCTACTCTGACCTAGCCAGAGAGATAATCGTCTGTTCTCTCCAGAGTGTTATTAAACCTTACTGAAAAAACACATTTGAGGTTGCAAAGGGCGGGGAGGAGACAGAAGGGCACGTCTCCACTTTCCTGCAGTTCCCAGACCTTTCCAACCACACAAGGATCCACTGGGTCGACCTTCACCTGAGTCTCCACCTACACCAATCTTTGGCACTTTAGCTCCTTTTAACTTTGTATTACATGACCTCTCTCCTCCACCTCTGACAAATCTCTGTGTTGAATCAGGGTTTGAAACATCTCATTGCAATTTGAGTTTAGCACTCCTTTTTTCCAGATATTCCAGTTCCTGATGGTCAGTAATTAATGCTCCTTTTGCAAATCTCTCACTGGAATGAGAAAATCGTTTTCCCTAACTCTTTTCTGAGGTAAATAATTTTTTCATCTTCTCAGCAAGTGTTTGACTACTTTATCTAAGGAGAACCTAGCATGAATGCAACATAGCATGGAACACCTCCAAGCCCACATATCTCTCAATCCAAGGATAAGATAGTCCTGAAAGATAGTTTTCCTCATATTAAAGCATGCTAACCATTTGTTTTGAAATTCAAGTCCTTCCTTATAAACACCTTAAAATGTGCCAGTCAAACCAGAAGCTGGACTCTCCTCTAGCATTTGAAATTAGAGCAAGAGACCAGAACTATGTGTCTTCCTCCATCCTCATCTTAAAAATTGCCAAGGCAGAATAAATGTGTAACACAGACAACAGCAGCATTGATTTATGCAAGAGCCAGTGCTCATTTCCTTTAACATAAAGCCCTTCAGAACTTAATTTATGACTAAGCAATTGAACAAACATACTGTGTAGTGGTATGGGTAGGAGGCAATTTGTTTTACAAAGAAGCACGAGGAAAAACCATCCCAGATTTACTTAGTGAAGCAAAACAAATGCCAATTCAAAAAGCACTTAAACTGTACCAACTGGAAATTAAATATTAAGAGTAATTAGTTAAAGTTTCAATTTTAGAACAACTGGTATGCTGCAACCCTCTTCCTGAAAATCTTCTGCAGTGCCACCTGCGAGCACAGCACAGGACACAGCCACACGTGACAGAGCTGCTTGCTCTAGACAGACTGCAGGGATAGCACTAGATGAGAGCACAGCACAGCACAGAAGTTGTGATTGCTGGCCTGAGCCAACAGCTCTTCCACCATGGACTTGATTAGGAGGAGAAAAAGGCAGCTGCAAGCATATTTAGAAAAGCCTGTTCTGTATGCTACTGTACTACAACTCTGTTTCAGCCTCAGGTCTACAGCTTCTGCAGTAGGTAAGGTCACTGGCTCCTCTATTGGCTTCTCATGACTAGAAATTGCAATTTTCTGCAAGGCTTCTGCTACAATGCAGTACAACTCACACCAAGTTAAATGATGTGGAGCAGACATCTATCTACTCCTACGCACTCTCCAAGTGATGACATGGCTAATGGGATTGATCAGAAACAGCTTCTTACAGAACCTCAAGCTAGGCTACATCTCTGTAAGACTGTTTCTGTGTGGGGCAAACTATTTTCCTTACCCGGAGAATCTCTCTGGAGATATATGCTATCCAGTCTTCTTTCAGGGTATTCCCTTTTGTGTTCTTCACAAGGTCTGTGATAGAGCCAGCTCCACAAAACTCCATAACAAGCTGCAAAACAAATAGCAGTGTACAACCAACATTAAACACAGATCTCAGCTGTTTAATAAAGCAAAATAATCAGGTTACAGCATTGATTTGGGAAGCTCTTATGAAGCAGAGAATATATTTTACATCTCTGTCTGGAAAATGGATTCAACCAAAAATCTTCAATGTGTGTCAGACATATATGGAATATGTCTCACATTAGTTACCATATTTTCAAGGACTGATTTAATCATTGTAATTTAATGCTGGGAATCTGGATTTGCTCAGCTATGCAAAATGTATTAGCAGTAAGAGCACATCCAATGCTGAAGGAATCAACCTGATCACATCATTGTAACACTTCTTATCCTTTAACTTCCATTTATTTACGGAAGAACAGGCACCCTGCCATTTCAACCCCAAACTTCAGTCCTCTAGGGGGGGTAGATGAGGTGGGATAAAAAAAATGTACAATCTCAAGTGCAGCTTTCTTTTTACAGTCACATATTCTTACAGCTCAGCTGTCTTGTTCCTATGAAACATGTTACTATCCATCTGGGAAACAGGGGGGGAAAAGTTACTTAAAGAACAAATCACTGCTTATAGCAAATCCTGGTTCACACATCCCCTTAAGGATATGTGATTAGCCTCTGTGATTCACTTATCTAGCAGTTCAGGCAAGCACCAAACTCCTTTAGTTTGTCTTCCCATAAAGTGGTATTTCTCTAATCATCAATCTATATCCAATAGGGAAAGACATAGGAACATGTTTGAAAAACATCTGCTTACCCACAGTTGGTCATCATGTCCTGGAGGACTTTTCTTAATGAAAGCACCATAATAAGTTGCAATATTTCTATGATGAGAATATTTCTTAAGCATATTAATCTCCAGTTTGATTTCTTCTTCTTCATCCTTTGGAAAAAAATAAAACAAACCCCCATATGTTTAATATACCACATGCATTATTGATTTATTCTTCACCTTCACACAAGTAGATTTTTTCCAAACTTCAATTTATACCAACATCATGTTCAGTAAACCCCTCTGATGTTCATGCCATCAAAATCCTCTCTATTGAGATGGTCTAAAACAAGTCTTTCCCAAGTTTTCAGGAGCACAAAAAAAACAAATAAAAGATGCAATGGATTTGATCCAGTGATGGAACATGACCTCATCTGTTTCAGAAGCCCTATGCTTTTAATACCTTTAGCGAATCCACAGCTGGCAGGCTGGGAATTTATGACAGAGAAGTATTATTTCCACGTTCCTCATTTTTTCTCCTTTAATTTTGGAAATTTCAACCAGTTGTATTTAAATGCCAGACAGTGGCTTTGTGAAACCCACTGCCAAAGCAGGTTCCCATCTTGGTCCCAGCATGGGACTAGCACAGGAAAACAGAGGTGGAGATCAGGAATTCCCCTTATTGCAAGAAAAAGGCATTTGCCTCGTGCACAAGCTTCCTTCTCCTCCTCCATCTGCCTCTGTGGAGGAAGAGCAAGTGCATCAGGAAGAACGGGCGAGGAGCCCAGGCAGTAAACAGGATGCTGAGACACAAAGGCAGAGGAAGGATTTCCCCTGGCTCCCCCCTCTTCAACAAGGTGCCAAGCAAAGAGCAGCTCAGGTGAAGGGAGGTCATCCCTGCCAAGAGCTGAAATGGGTAACATAATGAAACCACTCCTTAAAACACCCACAACCTGCTTTTGAAGTGATAGTAGGACATGTTGCATGGAAGGATCCACACATGCTTTGAGGTGTTGTCTGAGCAGGCAGCCAGCAGATACAGAAGGAGCAGACACCAACCCACCCCTAACTCTCTCTTCCCATACTTAGACAACAGGAGGCTTCTTTGAGCACCTATCAAGGCAACAAATTAAAAGGCAGATGGATATCCTCTTCTGCTCCACAATTTTATATCCATAGATATCCAAGCAGAAAAACATCTACCTTAAACTGATTTCAGGAAGAACCCAAAATTTCTTCTCCCTACAGTTGCTGGCTGATGGGAATGGTAGCATATATTCTGATTATCCTGTGATGTCAAAGCTGATTATATGATAAAATTTTAAGCCTTAAACTTGCTTGCAATTTGTACCACACTAGCAATCAAATATCCTATTCATGACATAGGCAGATGTTAATACTAGCTACATGTTAACTGTTTATACACACTGGTAGAGACTTGAATTAAAGACACCACTCTGTAACAAAGCTAACAATTATTTCAAATACTCTAACAGTGGGATGCAATGCTTACTCGTAAATTATTATGACACAATTCCCAAAATGCATCGGGGATAAACTATTCTTATATCTTCTCAGAATGCCTCTTTGAACTAAAATACTGTGTATTTCTGGAACACTGAACAAAATAGTAAAAGAATCTTGTAAATCAAAGTTCCTAGTGAACAGCAGCCCTGGGAGAAAGCGTTGTCAGAAAAGCTTTTTGAGCCAAAAGCTAACTTGGTGCTTCCTCAGCTGCTTCTGTTGTCCTTGCTGTTGAATGATTTTTTTATTTATTCCGACTATATGCAAAATGAAAAAAAAAAAAAAAAAAAAGAGAGGAGGAATACATGCTTATATTACACCAAACCTCTGAACTGTGCATTTAGGCAAAAAAAATTGAACAGGAGCATTGTTAAACTTGATGCTTTGGGACTTAATTGCTGGTACGTTAATATGTATAATTGGATTCATCTGCTATTTTGAACTGACTTTTTAGATAAAAATTACTTCCTACCCTCAGCACATGAACACAATAGATTTTACAATACAATGGGCAGGATGTCCTAAAGGTTGTTTGTGTTTATTTATTGTAATAGCAGCCAAAATGACAATACTTAAACAGGATCTATTTCTGAAAAATAAAATAATAAAAATCCCAGCCCCCTCTCCCCCAAAATAAAAAATCCTGAAGAACAAACAACAGAAAAGGCACACAGAGAACCAGCAGACTGTCTGTGTCACAGCACCTGCTCAAAGGCCTGCAGCAGAATCTCCCTGCAGCAATATTTCCCTAAATATCTCCCTGAACTACAACTAACAATTGTCTTACATTCACATTTCAGCCGCCTTTGAGCACTTGTCCACAACACAAATAGCACCTCACCTACAAGTGCAATCCAGTACAAATCCAGTCTACAATAATAAATGGATTCAGTAATTTTTGCCAGGCTTTGGAAGACTCCACTTACTTAGCGTGGATCGATAACTCCCTGGCAATGAATCCTGAAGACTTTGTGGCGACAGGAACTATTATGAGGATTAATCAGCACAGAAAAGGCTGAAGCATCAGTGTGGTACAGCAATTGCTGGAAGACTTTAAAAAAAGGAAATTAAAAAAAACAAGTTGGCCAGACCAAAACTGTTCTGTTCCAGATTCAGGAGCTTTTTTTTTTTCCAGGGAACAGGTCATTTCATCCCAATGTAGACATCTGAAAGAGGCCAAACAATGTGCACCCTACCGATGTTTACTTCTCCTCACTAACACAAAAGGAGGGTGAGGTCATTAGCCAAGATGTAGACACCAATCTTGCAGATGTCTTGCATCAAGGTGGGATGAATCCCACCCAAAAATCCGGATAAAGCCATTTCTGCACAGATCTCCTTATGGACACACGTGCCTTAAGGAGGGTAGGCTGCAGCCTGCAGCAGTGACACCCCTGAGGAGACCAAGGTGTTTCAGCAGCTGTCCTGGGATTTGGACATGTGAGCCAGCCTCAGAGAAGGAACGTCTGTCACCTCCTGCATGCACTGCACCACCACTAACAGTCCCTCCATTTGCAGAGGCAAGGGTATCACAAAAGCAGAAAATTAAAACTGATTGAGGCAAGAGACTGTCATTCTCATGAAGTAATACAAAAGTACATCCTTTTTTCTTGAAGGAGAGAGGCAGCTGGTGAGCCCTTCCTAGTGATTTTATGCAGCTGGCATCAATTACCACTTTAAGCCATTATCTATGAATACAAACTCCCATTGAAACCCTCTTTGTCTTCCCTCTGATCGAGCTGGTGGAAGTGTTTTATACTTATACATTCACTGTCTGTTTGTGACAGCACGTCTGATTACCAGTAATTTTTGCAGTAAGCTATACTTTTGCAAAACCCACGTGGTTAAATCAAGCTTGGAGCAGCCTTCCTTTCCCTTTTCATGTGTTTCCCTTCAGAGACTAAATGGACGTGCCAGCATCCCTAGGGGTTTCTAACTGCAACACTCTTTTACCAGAATAATCTTGCCTGTAAGATTAAAACCTGCACACGACTCCCACACAGAAATCCACCTATGTACATTCAGTTAATTTCTAACCATTTGAATTAGCACACTAAAAATAAACCCAGGTGTGTTACCTCTCAGCAGCACCTGATCAGCCTGCTTACTGCTCCACCACAAAGTTCAACCTCCCTTATTCTTCCATTCATCAATGCACATTAAATATCAGTGTGGGTTTTTCTGCATGCAGACAGCAAATCAATGACTTGTTTTTATTACTTCAGCATTTACAAAATTGTGATGATTTAAGTAAGTAGCTGAAGATTTAAGTATCTTACCATGGTTGCCATTGGAGAAACTAGCAGTCAAAAAATGCTACTAGTGCAGATCCATGTAAGGAAGATTATCAGCTGTTTTCCAAAGGTAACACACCACCCCCTGCATCATTACTGAATGAAAATGCTGCTTATTTACACAAATTTTTAGAAGATAAGAAATTCTGTAACACTTTGCTGGACATTTTTGAGGGATGGAAGAGAACTAAGCTCTGGAAGTGTCAGAATTAGGGAGGATATAACCAAAGGAAAAAAAAAAAAAGCACTTCAAGTCTGTCCCTAAACATCATTGTCTACATGCCTCAGGAGATCAAGCACAACAGTCCTAACCTGTTCCAGCACTAAAACTGGTATGAGACCCCTATGAGAAAGTCTCTCTGAGAAACACACCTAGAGGAGTAAGGGAGAAATAACACTGCTTCCCAAGCTCTACAGCATAATGAGATTATTTCAGGAGCTGAATTTCAAAATTTAAAAAACCCCAAACCTCTTCAAGGTAGAGCAAAGACATATCTCAGGGCATGTAAGTGGTGACTTTCCATCCAAACTCCCCCACCTGCAAGATCTGTCTGACCACTGCTCTTGGCTGAATATTTATTCTGACAGCTCAAAGAAGAGAAACTCGGGACTATTTCCAAAGGTTTTATTTACCCTAATAAGATGAGGGGAAATGTGAATAAGAAAACACAATCCAGCAAGACGATGTTCTGTGATAAAGGAGAGAGAAAGTTTACTTATCCTACCAGATGATTTATACACTGCTCTAAATCTAAAGTGTGGAGCAGAATACAAATTGCTCCCTTCAGTAACTTTGCTTTCTGATTTAAGAAATATGACAAATCTCTGCTCTCCCCACACAAATGGCATCCAGTTATTTTAAGCTACAGTCAAGGGGTTTTTAGAATTAACATTACTACCGAACAGTGGAAAGTCAAACACCAGCAAAATGGGATGGAGTGAGGGAAGCCTTCAAATCCCCTTTCCTTTGCTTTCCCAGTACTCAAAGCTCACAAAGCTTTGCCTGCCTATACCCATGGAGCTGCCCTGCCTGGAGAATGGCAGCTGGCAATACTCTGCCCGGGGTTTCAGAGTTCCTGAGCTCCAGTGGTAGCTTCTGGAATTTTGGAATCTTGAGATCACGGCAGAGTTGGGATCTGTGTAAAGCAGCAGGCAGCAGCCTCAGCCCAGCACTGGGAGTGAAAAGGCACTGCTAACCCATGGACCCTCAGAGCAGTGGAGAGGAAACCAGTTTGCCTTCACAGGCATGAAAATGATAAAAACTTTCCCTTTCTTTTATCATCTACCCCTGACACACTAATTGAAGAAAAACAGAACTCCAAAAGAAACTCCATTTATTTTCCTTTCTGTTTC